GATCTGATATCCATAAACTCACTATTTTCACCATCAACGTCTACGGGAACTTTTTTAATGAGCTTTGCAATATGCCTAGCAGTTGATTCACATCCTTTTCGACTCGAGCAAAATATCAGCACTGAATTACCCTCTTGAACAACCTGGATCGTGATATTACATGTGAGTATTCCTTTTGAACAAAATATGAGTACAGGTTTTATCAAAAACTTCCATTACCTCATTACAAAGCTCAACTATATGGTCCGGGTCTTTCCCTCCCATATCAGCAGCTTTTGGTATAGTCCTCACAACTTCCATCTTTTTATTGTAAATGGTGCTACCAACTTTAATATACTCCTCTAGCGGAACTGGTCGAAACTCTGTTTGATATAAAGCTGCCTTTCAACATGTAAAACAAAAATTAAGTTTTCTGGTTAAAAAAGCCCACAATAACTTTACAAAGAGTTTCAATAGAGGTGAAAACAATAGCTTCGGAAAGTAACATATACATAAATACTATCATCACCCATTTAAGAGATCTGGAGATACATAGGTCTTCATTTTAAAGGAAACATAAAGTTTATTAACAATCTCAAACAGTATTTCTGCACAACTTCATATACCATATTATATAATTCCCACAGAAATGCAGGTCTGTACATTAATTGACGAATACTTGTATATCCAAAGAAAAGTGTCATGCAACTGAGTGAGAGCAAAATATATACATACACACACAAATTGTGATTTTTTGCTTACTTGAAGCCAGTCAGCAACTGCGCCAACATTCGGCATTGTAGCACTCATACCCACAATTTGTAGGCCATGAGCAGGATCAGCCTTGCCACTGCTATTCCCTGAACTCTCACCACTACTTGATTCTGAACTGCCTTCACCAGCAGCATAACGAAGTTTCGTCAACATAAGTTCCAAAAGATAACCCCTATGTTGGTCACCCACCTATATAAACCATGGGCAGAAGATTCCTTTAATGCATTCATTATCAACTATATGAAGATAGAGCACAAAATAAAGCAAAGATAAAAAAGAAGACAGTTATAAGCTTATCCAAGATCCATGCAGATGAGATATGTGAAAAACCATACCATATGTAGCTCATCTATAACTATTATCCCAAGTTCTGACAAACGACCCTCTTCGAGCAAGCGATTTATCAAAGAGTTTGCCTTCTCAATCGTGCAGACAGCCACAGAAGTGCCTTTAGGAAGTGTTCCACCACCCTGATTTCCATAGTAACTACGAACATGCTTACCAAGTGGTTCAAGAAGGACCTCAAGGTGTTCCGCCTGCACCCAATTGCAAATTCGATTAAACTTACAGAAAGTAATATTGCAAATCGTGTAGGATGCTTGGAGAAACAAAAGAAACCTTCTCGGCACAAATGGATACATAAGGTAGCACAAGCAATGCCATTTTTCCAGTTGTTATGACCCGGCGCAGCATCAAGACTTCTGCAACAAAACTTTTACCAGCACTGCGCAAACAGCGTGGTTTTGAAATTGATAATAAATTCTTGTAAGATAGAAGCCTGATAGTGAGATTAATATTACTGCTATCATGATCCAAAGAAAATGTATGAAAAAAGAAACTTTGAATCAGATTCATAGCCAACCATGAAGATACCTTGTAGAAGCACAATATACAAGATTCCTTTTCTGCAAAACACCATCTACCTGAAGACACTCGACCTAGAAAATTAACAATTTGTATTCAGCTCATGAAAAGGAATTCAGAGGCAATAGCATGCGTACAAACATGCATACAAGAAAGAATAGGAAAACTTTTTCAGATACGATACGGATCTAAAATCACTCATTAATCAACGGCACAAATTAAGAAAGTATAAATACAAAAAATAAGAATAGAGTCGAGGATAAAAATTGTCAATACGTTTTGTGCAAATTCATGAAAAACATTAAAGAAGAAGAAAACCAACATATATCACATGTACAACTACGGCATAAGTGATATGATAAATGTAATGAAAGGAACAATGCATGAAGAGCAGATTAACTTTGGATGGCAAATACTAGCTGCAGGCTCTCATATCATAGAACTGCAATAGAAAAGCAAATTTACATCTATCTATCTATCTATCTATTTATCTATCTATCTATCTATAGGAGTAGGGACTTCAAAAATATTGATCAGCTGTATCCAAAAATAATTAACAAATAACAACCCACACATCAACTAATAGTTATGTACCTGCCAAGGATAGAGTTTAGATATTCCTTTCTTATTGTATACACTGCAAACTTCTGAGGGAAGCCAAGTGCTCAGACTCAAACCATCGTAATTACAATGAGAGCTTGAAGGAGTAAGACTTTCTTCAGATTCACTAGAATCAACTGGTTTTCTCATGTTGCTTATCATAGAAACAGATCTTACACCACGATTTTCCTCGCACAGTAAAACTTTCTTTCCATCGGGTTCTGGATATATCTTGCCTATCCAACCTTTATCTGCTTGAGCATTATTTGCAATATCAAGAGTTTCATATCCTTTATTATCAACGAAAGCAGATTCGGAGATCCTACTGCTTCCTAGAGTACTGTTATTTTGATCAAATGAAGCACATCGCTCTCGAATACTTCCATTAATGTTCTTATCTTGAAACAAAAGTTCAAGATTCTTGACAGGAAGCGGAGATACTTCTTTATTAAAGTCTCTCCCATGCTTCTCCACGACCTTTGAAAAACCAATGGCATCTTTATCCTTTACTCTGCTTTCATCTAAATCTAAAATCCTCTTTAACTTTTCACTGCAATTATCTGTTTTGTTGCTGCATGAAAGAATAGTTCCATGTTGATCTCCATCTTTAGCTTCTACGGAACCAGAGTTCTCAATTGGAATTGTCAAACCATCAGCAACTTGAATTGCTTCATTCCAGAAAGCATCACCAGGTGAGAACATTGAGCTACCACTTCCTGACTTAGGGGTTCCAACAGGACATGATTTGATGGCTGATCCAGGCGTGTGGAATTCAGTTAGATGAGCAGATGATTCTGGCGCCTTACTACACTTCCTCAAGCCCATTGGAATTTCGACAGATTCATTGCTCGGCATCTGTGAATATATCAGAGCAAACACATAAGATTATTTGAGATGAATTAGTTTAGCAGGAGGACAGGTAACCATGACTGTTGATCCAATTATACCTTCTTTGTATGGTCTGAAACAGATTTATCTTTATTATCACCATTCCTAGCGAGTGATTCAGGCTTACTCCCGAGAGGATTTGCAAGATCATCTAGTGATGGTATATTTTCGGACTCACAACGCCTCTTGTGAGAAATTTGTATATCTTGGGCAAGTGATGATGAACTGCTTCGACGCTTCAGTTCATTTGCCTTCTGATGTGGAGGTGAGCCAACAACAGACTGCAATCCACTGCAAGAAAACAGGCAAGCACAATTAACAAAATCCTCTAAATTCTAGTAAAAGAATGAATGTAAGTATGTAACTAACTCCTTGATGATAATGGAAAGAAAAAAAATTTGGCACAATCAAAGCACATTACCTACAATACAAGGACAAGAAACTAGTGGCAAAGTCTCTTAGTTCTGAATTATCTTTCTGGTTAGCACAGTGCAAACCATCTGTTGCATGAGTTTCAGCTGCAACACTTTCTTTATGAAAATCTCGAGATCCGTTCTGGTCCAAACACTCTTTAAAAGTTGCAATAGTTACAGGTTTAGGCAGGCAGGGGTGTATTATATTTTCACCAACAGACGAAGCAGAAACCTCCAAATCCAGTTTTCTTGTAAACGCTTCCTGCCTTGCCTGCAACCCACTATTGGTAGTGCTCTTGTCATCCAGAGAGGCTTTCAAGTAATTGTCCAAAGTGCCTTTGTCTCCAGGAGATCTTTCTCCTGCCACCTTCACATTTTTCTCATTTCTCCCAGATTTCAAATTTGGTGACTGGTGTTTCCTCTTCTTTGATACATAAAACTGATAGTACAGTAACAAGCAACATAAGAAAAATGAGTCAGTGCAAACACACTTATGCTTCAGTGTCACAAAATTTCGTCTTTTGGCCCACTTCTCATCCATCATAACTAATTTCGCAATTTGACTCAAGAAAAAGTTTTAAAAAATAATTCTTTTTATCTAATTCACGGAAAATCCTTAACAACATGTAAGAATTTTGTTCATGAACAAAATAAAAAGCGACTTTCTTTACAAATTATAGTTTTTCACTATCTTGGTAGAAAATTCAAAGGATGGGAATCCACCAAAATGTGATTTAATTCAAGTTACAGGTCTACCAAAACAATCCAATGAATCGAAGACTCTACAAAGTACAAAGTTCACCCATTTGCATCGATATAGGTCAGATTTCAAAAAGCACAAGTTTTTGAAGTCTTGAGAAACTTGAAGTTGTTGCAGCAAGCACGAATTTGCACACAGAGAAAAGGAGAAAGAGAGGAAGAAGAACACAAACATTCGTCTAAAGTTCGTGGAGACAAATTAATCAAAGAGCAAAAGAGAGAGAGAAAAACGGACCTGATCAATCCGCGATTTAGAAGAATCAGAGTCCATGGGCGGAGGAAGTAGAGTAACCGCCGGAGATCTGAAGAAAAACCCTAGTCGGCGATTTCAGCGCCGGGGGAAGTCAAGTGAGGAGCGCCTAAATGCAGGCCGATGTCAAAACAGAATCTGCAGCGTTTGAATTTTTGATTTCCCCTTCTATACACAGAGCTCTCTCTCTCTCTCTGACTAATGTATTTTTATTTTTTCCTTAAAATTTCATTTTTTTTTTCGTGTTTGACGCCCAAATTTTCAATTTGAACCATAAAGTTGCTTTTGCTTGGGCTTGCCGTTGGGCATTTTATTAGGGGTACTTGTTTCCTAATCAGGTTTTTAAGTGTTGTCAATTATGTTTAGAATTGTTTATAGCCTTTAAATACTTGTTTGGAAGAAGTTAAAACTTGTAATGTAACATTCTGTGGTAGACCATCTAATGAAGAAGTGCTATTGCAAATTTGCAATGAGAGCCAAGACCAGTTCTATTTCTCTTACATTGCTTTCCAGTAAAGACAATATTCCTCGAATCTTTGTGTACTTTGAATGAAAGTTAAAGTAGAACAAGAATCTGTAGTTAAATTATTCTTCAGCTGGTTTATTGGCTGTGTGTTTGCAAGCACATTGAGGCTTATGCTTCGGTTTCTCATTCTGATTCTTCAGCTCGTTTCCAGCCACGAGGAAGAATGCGGTGTGCCTGAAATAGATTAAAAGCAGCCGATCAAATCGATCTGTTTGCTTATCTACAGAATACTAAGCTGAATAATACTGGTTTCTAAATTACAAACTTTTGACTCTGAGAAGAAGATGGTGCACTGTTACCTGAAGAACTTCATCATTTTGATTTTTGAGTCCTCGTCAATGTCAACTGAGTCCTCCAGAGCATTTTGCATGTGCTGCAGCCATCTCTCAGCAGCTTGATGGGTCACTGGAAATGGACGGTGACGTCCGATCAAAGCAGGATGACCTACACATTGGCAAGATAAACAAACAGCCACAAAGTAAGCAAAGAGAGTTTGGGAGATACCAAGTCATATTTAGTCAAAAACAAACTCACATTGGTGCAAATATCAAATATGTATTCTAATGTCTTTTGTTATACAATACAAGTGCGGTGTGTGTACTAAGTGAGCATCAAAAGGGCAAAAACAAATGAGTTAGTTGATGTGCAATTTCTTAGTCAAGCATGAAAAGACCTAGTAACCAATCACAGAAAACAACTTATGAACACATAACTAAGGGATCGCAGCAAACAACATATGAATGCAATCAGCCAATTCGGTTAAAACACATAATTAAGGGAGAAGAATCCAAAGGTAAGAAGAAAAAACAAACCTTTCCTTTGAGAATACAAAGGAGGGCCTCCCATACGCTGGACGAAGAACTCATACTGGTTCTGGATGGCATCTTCTTTGTTTGAGTTAGAAAAGATGGACCGAAACCATTCTTCTTCGTCGTCATATACCCTATTACCCATTTCAAAACAAGAAATCCCTTAAGAACACATGTCCAAAAGTAGAAGCATTATCCAAAATCTTAAAACTTCTCTAGGACTTAAAAGACTTGTCAAACTCAGAACACGTATATCCTACAACACTTTCATATCTGCATTTACAAGCCAAAATCCTGGGAAAAGCTATCTCAATTTCTCATTTGACAAAGCAGAGAGAGAGTGGACTTGATTCTTCATAAATATTAAAGGTTCACACTTTCAGCCACAATCTCCTAGTCTAAACCAGATTTTAATCGAGAAAATGGAGCTTAGCAAGTGAGAGTTGTAATAACCCAGAGTCCAGAGCAAACACATAGAAAAGTACCTGGTGTAGAAATTGGTGGATAGGTTGATGAAGGCCTGAAGACCAAGCTTTTCGAACAGATTGGATTCGTCGATGGCAAAAGCCTCAGTCTGATCGACGCCGCTCAACACCGATGCCTTCTCCTGCAGCGATTGCATCTCTCTCTCTCTATCTGGTTTTCGTCTGTCTCTCTGGTTCGCAGAGGTGAGAAACTGTGGGCGATTGAATTGAATTTTAAAAAGGAAATGGTGGGGACTCTCGTGGTGGTCGCGTGGAGGCAACGCTCTCTTTTTTTTTATTACACTAGTTGGGCTTTTTGGCATATGCCGTGACCACAACTATAGATTTGTCTTGACTCTCTTGGTCCTATCCAATCAATTTAGGATTTTGAAGTAATTGGGCACACTTAAATTGGCCCGTTAAGAAGCCCATTATTCTAAACGCGACAAACTCTTTACTGACGACGATTTGCGTTTGATGGAAAAAAAAAAAGTGATTTAAAATCCGCGTTTAAAAAGCGACCGAGCTGAGCTGACCACACGATATTTCCCCGTCGAGAATTGGTTTCCTCTCTTTCTTTGCTCCGAAGACAAGAAAAATTCCGGTGAGGCAATGTCGTCGAACAGCAGAGAAGCCAGGAGGCGGAAGATCCTAGAAAGAGGATCTGATCGTTTAGCCTTTATCACTGGTCAGATCAACGGCGCTCCTCCTCCTCCTCCTCCTTCCGATTCTACTTCTTCCCTTTCCCAGTCTCATCTCCAATCATCACCGGACACGATTCCCCCTCGTGATCAGATTCTTAAAGCTCAAGAAATCGGTACTCTTTCTAGGGATTATTATCATCCTTGACTTGTTCGTATCGAAGTTCGGTTTTAGTTATTGTTTGTGTGTGTAAGAATTTGAGTGACTTGCTGAAAGATTGTGTCAATCGGATTTTACTTACTCTATTGGGTGAAAGGATAGGGAACAATCAAATTGGCTTCTTTGATCAGATTTTATGTGTGTTTTGCTAGTTACAGAGTGGAATTTCATGTGTGTAAGAACCCGCTTTGAACCATTGCATGTTTGAAATAGGGAAAATTTGTAGAGAAGAATAGGACAACACACATCATCTACATTTAGATCTTTTAGTTTATTGTGTCCTCTGATTGTACTAGTTAATGAGCAGTGAAGCTACTAAAATCCAGATTTCAGGTTGGAACCTACTTGGCTTTAGCTGAAATTAGATCTTATGAACCTGATTTGACTGTTCTCTACTTACACTTAAGTCACCTCACACCTTGAAATTTAGTTTGCCATTCTGTGAAATTCTTTATAGGTGTGGTTCAACCACAGTCTAGTGTTTGGAAAGCTCAATTATGTTGTGTTTTTTAAATTTGCTTGCTGTATTGTGCCACAAAGTTTGGAAGGAAAAGATTGCTACACTGCTTGATTGGAGCCAATAAATCTTAAGGCGTTGTAAATATTCACATTCAGTGGGTTCCTCTTAGGAGTGGTGGAGGAACCCACTGATTGTGAATGATCTTTTTGGCTTTTCTTGAAGCTTACCTTTACTCTATCCTACTCAGAGGTTACGGATTTATTTGCTAAAATCTACTTATTACATATTTGTGTTTTGCTTGCTTAACTTGTTATATTCTGAACAAGAATATTGATGGATGTCATTAGCTTCATAGAGAAGCATGTCAAAATGTTAGCATCATTTATATGTTGTTGTTGATCCCAATCTAATTATAAGCATAATAAGATAAAGCCAGGGGTTACTTACTGATTTTGCTGATCCTTGGTTGTGAAATTGCAGCTTTCACAAGTCACCAGGAAAACATCTCAGATACTGCGATGCTTGATAATGCGGATCATATCATCCATCAAAGCAGGGCAGAATTGCTTCAGCCTCAGAGGCATACTGAAACATTGTCAGCAGCCTCTGCTTCATATCCTAGAGACACAACAATACATCCGTCTCTTACAACATCAAGTGTTCAAAACCCATCTGTGGTAGATTTAGGTGCTTCTCAAGCATTTATTCCTGTGGTTAGTTTTGTGAACGCCATCACACCAAAACACATTGGAGCGGCCATTGATGCTTCAGAATACGCACGGATGTTCACAGCTCTTGCGATTGCACTTGTTGTCATACTATCTCATCTCGGTTTCTCTTCCCTAGGCAACATAGTAAGCTTCAGGCCAGTTTTCTTGCTTCTGTTGACCGATGCCACAATTGTGCTTGGACGTGTTCTGCTGAGTCATCATGGAGATTCTTCCTCAGCCTCAGGGACAGTAATGAGCGAGCAAGGTATGATGGACCAAGTAGGCAACGCTTTGGAGATGGTGATGATGATGAAGAAGATAATGGATGCACTTCTTATGGATTTTAGCTTATACGCTGTGATTCTCATATGTGGCCTATTGGTCACCCAAAGCATCTTTCCTTAGGTCATCTTCACGTAGGTTTGTTTGTGCTCGGTAGATTTGCTTTTTGCTTCTGGTTTTAATATCGATAAATTATACTAGTTAGTTCCAAAACATAATTTACATGTTTCTGATATCTTTCTCTCCTTCTTTTTTTTTTTGTTACATTTATTGGGATGCTAAGTGCTTCACTATTTATTGGTGTTCACTTCTTTGGAAGATGAAATTTTTAAAAATTATAGTTATGGGTATGATTGTATCACTGAATTTGGGTGTACTATTTGTTCTTGTTTTGAGATTTTGTGAATCTGATTTTTGTATTTTCTCTGTATTTTGGTTTAATAGAGGAAAAAATGCCTCACACATCTCAACAACCCACTTTAACTTAAGCAACCACAACCTGTTATGGTCATTAAAAATTCTTACTACATTTTCTATATAAAACTTTATTATTTACAAGTCTAGTTTTAATGATTTTGATCTCTGAAAGGGAAAGAAAAGTTAATGTGGGAAACTCGAAAGGGAAAGAAAAAAAGGAAGAAGTAAATTTCTCGCTGTCACACAGTAAATTACCGAGGAAATAGGAAGCAACGTAAGAAAGTCCCTCTGTCGCTGTCAAAAAAGAAGAAGGTAAAAATACATCAAACGACGAATCATAAACGTTTATTTCTTTTTTTTTTACTTTTTTAAATCATTTATAAATACGTCTCTTTTCTTTTTGGCAGCCATTTTTTTTCATTTGCCGCTAAAGTGAAAGTGCAGACAGAAGAGAGAAAAGAGAGAGATACAATCGAAGTTCCAAGGTTTCTAGTTCCCGGAAAATGGAGATTTCTCCGGCGGAAGACAAGCTCGTTGGCTCCGGTGAAGCTGTTACTCCAGAAGAATCAACCATACCAAACAAAGCTGTAGATATTTGTCGGATTTGCCAATCACCGGAGGAACCAGACAATCCGTTGAGACATCCGTGCGCATGTCGAGGCTCTCTCAAGTATATCCACTCAGATTGTCTTTTTCTCTGGCTCAATCGCCGTAAACGCAACCATTGCGAGGTTTTAAACCCTTTTTCAAAAGCTCTGTTTCTGCTACGAATTGAGTTTAAAGTTTACTGCTTTTTCGATTTTTTTCTCTTTTTTATGTGTTTTGAGGAAGATATCTCTAAAGTTTCTCTCTTTTTCTTCTTCCACTGTAGATTTGCAAACATCGCTACTCAATTGTGCCGGTTTATTCCGAGAACGCTCCAGAGAGACTACCATGGCACGAATTCTTAATGGGATTGCTAATGAGAGCATTACGTTTCATGAACCTGATGCTTCCTTGGGTTTTCATGATTCCTTTCAACGCATATTGCTCTTCTTTTCGTCCTTGGGACAGGGAAGGTGTGTTTGTGAACCAGACTGTTTTTGAACTGTCCTTGAAATTTCCTGGTCTGTTTTACACTGCTGAGATAGTGTCTAGTACCACCGAGATGGTTGTTCAAATGGAAATCATAAGAGTGCTTTTAAGGAGACACCCCGAGTTCTTACGTCGTATGATCATCTTAGAGAATGGTCTAAAAGATAGAGATGTTACTGGAATTGTGCTGCTGTTAGCGAATCATTTGCATATTCTGTGTGATTGGTGGCATGATCAGCTCTTACACTTGCCATTTCTCCATATCTTTCAGAGGGGACCTCTTGCACTAGTGTTTGTTCCTCGAAACACGCCGCTTCATCAATTTGGAGCCATAAGAAGGTTTTTTTCCTTTTTGAGTGACAACACTTTTGCTGTAAGTCTTAGCTCTCTTTATTCAATTACTCTTGCATAAAGAGAACCATGCATTGTAGAGGTTGTTTTCCTAGCTTTCCGGATTAACATTAATGTTTCACCATGTTGAGTAACTGATTCTTGTTCTTTTTCTTTTCTCTACAGGTTCTTGCCATCAACATCTATTGGTCTTTCTTCAGCGTTCTTTTACCATTTTCGATTGGACGAGTTGTCTTAGTTCTCCTACGTTGTTTCTCACTCGGTTGGATTGCAGAAAATGCATCTGAAGTGGCTGCTGGAGATATGGTTATACGCTCAGTTTTATTGGCTTTCCTTGGAAGTGTCTTTACCCTGTCTCGAAACACGTATCTGAGATGGTTTTCACCGTCAGTTAAGGATACATTCATCTTGTGTTTCAAACTCGTTGTTCTGCCTTGGTTACTTGGTTGCTGGCTATATTTCTGCACTTTCCCTATACTGAGAAAGACAGCTTCCCACAGCGTTGAGGTTCTTTCAGACTATCCACTCATGGCTGACAAACATTGGTTAATGGGAACGTTGTACTTGGTAGTTGCTTTAAGTTGCATGGAGCTTATCCAAAAGGTAATATTTGAATTTTTGTTTAATCCTCACGCATCATCTGGTTTACTCACTTTTTCTTCTTCCTTTTGACAGATAGTTCAGAAACGAGCCTTTTGGTATCTGCTAGATGTTGCAGAACCAAACTACAAAATCACCAAACTCCATCTTGGTCCCTTTCTCTTGGCGTTTGCTTTCCATGGGGCAATGGTGGTGATTGTGCTTCACTTACCAATAAAAACAATCAGTCTCATCAGCCAGTCCTTTTTCCCTCTCCAATTTGGGTAAGCTCCTCTGGACCTTACCCACATAATGTTTCTAATTTCTCGGTTCTTGAACAAAATGTATTAAAACGCTCAAGGGATATGCAGGGTGTACGAGGATGAGTTTGTGCTTGGCTTACTTGTTGCTTATACGGGCCTAATAATCTTCGGTCCCCGGTGGTTAGCCAATTTAATTAGACCATCCATCAGACCCATAGTTCACAAATGGGTTATCACTGTCAGTTCTTTGCTCAAGCTGAGTGATTTCTTGCTTGGAGAGCCCCGAAAACACCGTGCAAATCGTAATGTGAGAGTGAGACCACGGTTTCTAGTATTTGGCATAGCTGAAGGCTCTATGGTCAGTTTGTATGGATCTCAAAGTGATACCACCTGTGAAAAGGATACAAACGACCAAAGAGATAAAAGGTAACAGATAACACGCTTTTAGTAAAGATAATTTCTTGTGCAAAATTTATATTCTGATAGGTTGAAGTTTCAGGTTTATGCTGAGGATTGGAGTGATGTTGGTTCTAGCTTCTCTGAGTATGTTTCTTGTTAGTACAACCTTCATGGCTTTACCAATTCTAGTGGGGAGGGCGTTCTTCCACTCTATCTCTTTCTTCATGCTAAGTTTCGGACTCAAACACGACGGTTTGTACTTTCTTAATCTCTCTTCACACGTCTTTCTCCTTTGTATTATGCTTCTAATGTTAAAAGTGTCTCTTTGCAAATCAATCATTTTAGATATTTGTGCTTTCTGGATTGGATTCTGTATCCTGCGAGGAATCTATATCATCACTTGCTTCGTCTATGATCATTTGGTGACGGGAAAAGTCCATTTGCTTATCAACCATTTCATGATGTTCATAAGGAATGTCTTGTTATTCTCCATATGGGTAAGAAATCTTAAAAGTCTTTAACTGAAAACGTCTGAATATTATGACTTTTGAACCATGATGTTTTGCTGTGAACAGATTTCTGTCATACCGGGATTACTCGGTCTCCTTATCGACCTTATGATCATCATCCCATCACAAGTTCCGCTAAACGAATCCCCAGCATTTATCTTGCTCCACGATTGGTTGATCGGTGTAGTCGTCCTTCACATCTGGATCTTTCTGGTAAGAAGTTTCCATCATTATTGCTTCAGTCAAGAACTCTTTTTTTTTGGTGTTGCGGAACAAGTAACTGCTTGCTTCTATGGCAGACTATGCGCACACAGATCAACTGTTTCGCGACTGTGGTGTGGCGGGAAAAGCTTCAAAGAATCAGAAGCGCTGGAATCAACGGACTTCCCTTTACTTGGTTGATTCGAGATGTTATTGGTTCGATCATAGTGTCCCTTTTATTCACTCACTGCGTTCCCTACGTGGTGGTGAACTCTCTGTTCCCAATTCTTGGATTTTCCAGTGCAGTCAACTTAACCGTCCAGCGGTTCATTTGGCCGGCGATCCTAGCCTTAATCCCCATATGGTTTAGTGTCAAGCTCATTCGTGATCTTATCATTTACCTTCACCAGCTGGAATTCGATAACCGATACAAAGTGGGCGAGAGGCTGGTCGATTTCACTGAAGATCTCGAGTAACAAGGACCAAAACCAATGGTTACTAATAGAGAGTAGTCTTCAATTATAAGTACATATAGTTTCTTATGTTATATCATCTCTTAATCTATAGAATCTATGAAATGCAATCTACATCTTAAGACGATGTCTAGGATACAAAAGTTGCAAACAAAAGGTTTTGGAATTAGGTATTTATGTTAATTCCTTGATTCTCCATCTTCAAGTTCCTTTATTTCAACTTGATCGAAAACCAAGAAATCATTAAATAACTCTCGTCTCTTAAAATCCAAATCTGCACTTGATCGGAAATCCAAGAAATCATCATCGAAACATAGAAATCACGATGGGCAATTATCTTCTTCTCCACGTTATCGTAATCACCCTTGCTTTCTCGTCCCTCGTTTCAGGTGCTCAATTGTTGGGTAAGTTTTTTCCTATTTGCCCTTATAATTTGTGTGTCGCTAATTGAATCTTAGTTGCTTGTAACTCTGTGGAACAGTCACTCCTCGTTTAGAGGTTAAGGGTTCTCCTGGATCTCTATGTGACAGGATACTTATCCATGGAATTCCAAGGTTTACACGTATAGACATGTATGCACATTCACTCAAGCTGATAGTTAACGCTTCATCCGCTGGGGAAACACACGTTTGCTTCCATAGGTGAGTAAGTTAATTTGTTGGGCTTGAATTCATTTATCATAGAGTATCTCTAACTAATGTTTCCTGACATCTTTTTTTTTAGTGATTTCTCGCTTGCACTTGGAATGTGCCCTCATAATCAATGGAAGAAAGTCTCTAATGGTTCATGGACTCAGAAAATGTCACCATTTTTTGACTACAAGCTCCTTGATGTAAGAGTAGCTGGCTCATCCACGGTCACTCTGAAAGTGTCTACTGTAAAAGGTGATTCTTGTTATCTACTTTAAATACTACACGAATGTTTCCTAGTAGGTGGTTCATTGTTCAAACTTTTATCAACTCTGTTTTATGTTTTGCAGAATGGCTAATGTATCGCTATGTATTCATAATCCTTGGTACCATTTTGCTGACTTATGCTTCAACATTGAGTAGATCATATGCCTTTTATTATGTTACTACTTTTTCGGTTGGTTTGATCCTTGTTGGGCTACTACTATGCTTTCAGGTATTTTACTTCCTAAAACTCTCTTGTTAGTGGTTTTTCCTTTGCTTACCTATAAAATTGTGTTCGTACAGGTAGTGAAGCATGCACGACGTCATCGTTTGGGGTTCTTCTTGTGTCGATTTCTGGTAATTGTTACGATTCTTTCGTTTTTCTTCTTATTATCCCCATCTCTTTTATCCAACACTAACCATATGTTTTTTTTTTTTTTTTGGTCAGGTTTGTTTATGTTATGTCATTGGTCCCTACATACCTAGTTTCACTCAAAGTATGCTGAGAGTGATGGGGTTCAGAGAAGGATTTTATAAACCTGTATGTCGGTTTCATTACTTTTTTAATATTGTCGATACTTTGCACCTCATTTGATATCACAAATCTCATTTAAAGAAGTTTACTGCATTTTGCTTTTGCAGGTGTTATATGTTTGGGTGCCGTCTCTATATATGTGGGGAATTCTTTGTGGACTTTTTGCTATCAATTCACAACTTCTCCTGACTCAAGATGGTTCCATTGACGTTAGCACATCACTCTTCATTTCTTGGGCCATATGGATATTTGCTGCTGTTTTGATTCTTCTGGTATTTTTCCAATCTCCTCTCTCTCTCTAGTCTCCCATTTTTAGTTTAACCAAATAAAACCTTACAACAAAATCATGTTGTTTCCAGAGCTCTTGGGATCCTGTGCTTGCTTGGGGAGCATTAATCGTTGTGATTGTTATGTCACGGATGTTCAGGACGATCACTGGTTTGATTTTCCCGATGACGCGTACGCGAGTGAGTTGCAATCTGTTCAACATTTCATGTCGGCGATCAAGAAAAAACATCTGTTTGGTATTGGAAAGTGATAAATTAAACCATGTGTCTATAGTTTGATTTACATCTTGAATACATATTGAAAATGTGATCTATTCCTTTTACCGCATTTACCAGTCATGCTTACCAAACTAAAAGTGTCATACCATTTGGTGTAAATTTTTGGGTTTTTTTTTAAAGGAACCGATAAAACTGACACTAAGAAATTGATATGAACTTAGTAGCACAGGTATACAAAATTTGCATAAATTCAGAAAATGTATATTTCACGCTAAGATTTTAGATTAGAGTAAATTTGGTCAGGCGACAAAAGAAGATGATAGCAGAATTTCCTAATTAATATTAGTTCTAACTTTCAGCTAATTGACAAGGAGACCCCATGTTACATGTAATAAGTACTAGTCGGAGATAAGGCGTTTAGCTACACGTGTATGGCTATTCATGAAGGTCCCTTCTAACGACTTGCAAGAGCTTTTCATGAGATGTCCAAAAGAAACAGAAACAGAGATTCATACAAAGGCTTACATACGGGAGAGCCAAACTTCTATCAACTAAACCCATATAGGGTATTACCGCAATACTCTCATATAGAAAGTAACAATTTCCGCTGAAGTCTGGAGAAAGAAGCTCTATAACAAGAGCTTAAAATACATCCTATAAGTGACATCAGTCACATAGGAATTTTCCTGGCGAAACTGATTAACAACCAGCAAAGAGGCGAGAACCCTATGATGAAAATTTCTAGCAACTAATATCAAAACACTAGACAAGCTGGGCTTTGTAAGCCTATGCTTTCATTTTCCATGTTTCAAGTTCCTTTATTTTAACTTCATCAAAACTTTTGACTTTAGACGCAAAGACAAGATATTTTGTTTAATATATCTCATGTATATATTAACCGACTTGGAATACAAAAATTGGTATTTGGTGGGTGAAACAGTCTTCTTCACCTAAGATTATGAAGAATCGAGTCCTTGGAGCATCTTATGTTTCATAAATATGATAATGGATGGTGCAATACTGCAATGTCTAAATTTTGCTTATGATATGCAGTTTATACGGTTGATTAGTTTCAAAATGTGATCTAAGTTTTTTCTTCTCAACAACACAATGTACAACAGAGTTATTTTCCAGAATAAATGTAGCCAAACTCGTAACTGAAATTGGAATACTACTGAGAAAGGGAGCTTTAGAATCTAGCAAAAAAAAATGTTACCAAGTAACATTCTACATTTTATGGTTCTGATTTTGCTTCTTCTCAACTTGAGCTCTTGAAGAAAGGATGGTCAAGAGCTTCGTTTGCCGTGAGACGCTCAGATGGATCATATGTCAGTAAGCCATACAATAGATCTGCAAATCTAGATCTTGTGCTGTCAACATGTTTCGATACCATATCCTGCAAGAATTGTGAGCAGTTTCTACTTCAGATGACGGCATATCAAACAAAAGATATATAATTAGACAATAAGAAGAATTATTGGTGATTAAACCTTGAGACGATCAAGTCTTTTTACAGCCCTAATACTCTCTCTAGAGTTGGCTCCTTCTGGCCAATTTAGCCTACACCCTCTTCTGAAATATTTCTCAGCACCCCGGCTGCAAAAACATAATGACCGTACATGCAACAACCGATGAGCATTTATCTCTCTGTGGAGTTTTCGCGAACCCAAATGTTTGTGGAAATAGAAAAGTAACCTGGCTTTTCGAGTCATATGTTCAGGCAAAGGTCCCAATGCTCTCTCCATCATAGCTAGATGTTCTAAGTTATCATGCGTCTGAAAGAGAGCCTCACCCTAATGTACAGTTTGAAAATGTTGACAATAGTAAGTAAAACAACTCAACACACGGAGATAATAATTCATACAATAATATGAAAGAGACTTTACCGTGCATAGTTCATATAGTATACAACCTATACTCCATAAGTCACACTGGTAACTCCATCCTAGACCTGCAATGATATGCCACTGGTTAGTTACCAGGGAAAAATTATGTTCACTCATTGGTAAGCGTCAGCTACGGAATCCACACGCACGTAACTGCTTAACCAACCTAAAATGACCTCGGGGGATCTGTAATGCCTTGTTTGGACAACAGAGTGATGAATCCGGTTATCACAAACAGTACTGCCAAAATCAATCAGTTTAATAGCGCTCGACTTTGGTAAGCACCTGACATGTGTCTCATTTGCAGCACTCCTCTGTTTATTAAAATCAAACACCAATCTGTCAAAAGTGCAAACTCTTGAAAGAATTTTTTTTTCTTTTAAAAGACTAGCTTATCACTCCTACAGAAGCTGTACCCAAACCAAACTTAACCAAATTCAGTTCTAGATACCTTATTGTAAGGAAGCTTTACATTTTCAGAAGACACCAAAAGAATGTTCTCAGGCTTGAGGTCGGTGTGAACTAACTGTAACTCGTGCATATCTGTAGATAAGAAAAAATATGTTAAGAACAGAGAGGCATTAGGTAGGAACTACAGCTGCTGAACCGAGACAGAAAGGAAACGGTTACGATGACGTGCTAGATACAATAATTGTATTAGAAAGCAGTAGATAGGAACAATTCACAGACATGCTACAGAATCCAAAAGCTGGCATCCAAAATCCCGAACAAGGGCCAGAGGAAATGCGGAGTATTTATTTCTCTTTAGAAAGTCAAACAAACTTGGCCCAAGCTTCTCGAACACCTGGTATCACCATTAGAATTCATTCACAGGAAGGTTCTGTTTAGTTCCAAACTTCATCGACAAAATCCACATGGGTAAACTAACTATACAAACACTATACAGGGAATTGGATTTCCATAATTTGGGCATCAAACAAAGAAAGGTAGCCAGAAAGATTATGATTCATTTACTTATAACACTAACAAACCTCACAGGTACTGAACATAGAACCAATTAAATATAAGAGATGCATTCCAGTGGGGGTGAAATCGATGAGCTTAATCGGGAAACTTACAATGCAAATATGATTTCGGTAATCAAACCAGTCCTTCATCTGTACACAGCTGCAAGGACAAAGCAGAAATGAAGAAACTGAGCAATGATATATACCTCTGCAGAAAACGATGTCATCAACTAAAGTCTAGGAGAAAAATAAATACCGTGTGCGGCCTTTATCACTCTTAACAAGTTTCTGAAGTACATCAATTTCAATCATTGCTGCATCCCGGTATTTCTTAATGCTTCGAATAATCTTTATTGCCACATATTCTTTTGTATCACGATCCCAACATTCCAAAACCCGACCAAATGTGCCTACAACACCAGCAAGTTCACTGAAATGGCACGATTTGATTCACATAAACAGTTTTTTTATCTCGAACACACCATGCCACTTGACAGCTAACCTTCACCCATCTTGCTTAGTATTTTATCTGTCAAAACAGAACATAAAGTAGCGCAAGTTAAACAATTAAACATGTTCAGAAAGGATTCTCATGTCAATGAAACGAAACCGAAAAAAGATTATCCCTGGGGCAATGGTGCCAATCAAGGAGTTACTAGCAACAATGCACATATAGAAGCAACATAAGTAAATCTCTGAGTTCGCATAGAATAGAAAGTTAGCAACTTTATCCATCAAAAACACACAGAATTCATGAATTCATTATATAAACTCACATCTAGGAGTGAGATTGTCCCTCAAACTGAAGACATAATGACCATCACGATCATCCTCCCTTAGTGGTGGTGACAAAATCCTCCCATCGCTTCCATGTCCTTTAATCACAGCCCTTTTAGCCTATCCCAATTAAGTCAAAATTCAATGTCATCAAAACCTCACCAAAACAACATCATAAATGCTTGCTCTTTCCTCCACATTCTAAACCTTAATTCGAAGTCTAAATGTCAAAGATTAATAAAGAAAAAGGAAGAAGAAGAAGAGCAACCTCTGGTTCAGCTGGGGCCTCGTCCCAGGTCATACGAGGACGTTTTCTGAATCGTTCTTTATCCATATTCTCGAATCCGTTAGCTATCATCACCGACGCGGAAAATCGATCACCGACGCATCCAGAACGGAATCTGATGCCAATCTGCAGCTAAAAGAGGGGATAATTCTACCAGAAACTCTTCACGTAGATGCGGCGAATCGAGCGAAGGAAGGTGATTGATATCTCCGAAAATGGTGAAAACAGAGGACTTTTTTTTGCTAGGGTTTCGAGAGTGCAAAGAGAAGAAGAGAGTCCTAATTTTACCGGCCAAATCCCTTGGGGTCGAATCGCGACATCCACCAATTGCAGCATTTTGCACTTTCCACCGAAACATTGGGTCGACACAACGATGACCCGTAATATTTGCCCACCCGGCCCAAATGAAATGTTATGAGATATAATCTTGGCCCAAAAGTCCATGATGGATCTTGACGTTCGTTTCTTGTTTTCTTGGAAATTTTTTTTTTAATCTAATAACAATTATGGTTTCGTTTCCTATTTATATGAGCAAACGTAAAATGTATATACATAGTACATACATAGGCATCGCAAACTATTTGGTTTTACATATCAACAACATACACAAACTTACTTTATGTATATCAATCGATCGCTTTAGCCATGTTTTTTCTCAATTTCTCATTTTCACATTTATGTGTTTGCTTTGGATTTGAATACTTTATTGCTATGATTTGCTTTTGGATGTGATATTTTGTTGTTTATTTGGACATTTGTCTTAGATTTTTGGATTGAATTTGATATTTTTGCAAATTTTTGCGTTTTCATAATTTGTTCTTGTGGTTATCAATGGACGCCAATGGACAGCCCATTTGGACATGGGCGTTAATGGGCATGGGCTATAATGGACATAGATTTTATTTGTCCATAACTAAAATGGTCAATATTGGACCGGACTAATGGACGTGGACAGCCCATTTTGACAGCTCTAATTGCATGCATCTTCTTAATTTGTGTAGTAGATTTCCATGTGAAATTCTCCATAGGAGCTAGCTAATTAAGGGACAAAGAAGAAGTCTCTATCCCCCTTCATGTCTTACCACGACAAAACGGACTACAACAGTGTTTCTTGTTTTATCAATGTAATTAATAATTATTCTCATTTTCGTCACATACTCACAATCATGAGTAGTGATGATATATAATTCATTTGTTTATTATTGTTCGTTTTGTTTACATTTTACAACATTACTATTCCTGTCAGGGTCTCATTTAATAACAACAACACAAAATACGTCAAGATTTGACTTTTGAGTTCCTCAATTTTTTCAACTCCAATATTTAAATAGCTAATTAGAATTACATAATTGATCGTAAGAAAAAAGAACCTTATCCCTTTATTGTAGATCTCGATTGTGATTACTACACCTGATGTCACATTAAATACACACAGAGGCGTAAATAAGGGTCAAAAGTCGGCTTTCCGCAAAACAACAAGGTTTTGTAATTCTAAAAGAGTAAAATTTATCACAAAACTAATACAAGGATTAAACGGAATTTTAACAAATTATAAATTTACGTATATATGATTTTAGCGGTGGTAACTGATTTAACTTTTTTTTTATATATATTTTTTTCCAAACACTAATTGAGAAAATAAATCATAAAAAAAGTCAACACAATTTGCTCACCACCTTCTTCATCATCATCTTCACACCTCTTTAATAATAAATATATAAATGAAAGAGACAAATTAGAGGGAAGTATATATCATCAAGCTTGAAGGAGAGAGAAGAAGAAGAAGGAAAAAAAGAATGTCTACGACGACGACTTCAGAGACGAGATCACCGTTTCCGTTGTTGTTGAGAAGAGGAAGGTCTTCAACGGGGACATCAACGTCGGCGGAAGCAAGATCGCCGTTATCGGTGCTGCAGTTCAGAAGAAGATCGAGCAAAGATGTGAGGAACATAACTTCAGTGTCGAGCAGTCTCTTGCCTGCGTTTGGGACTGTCATCGAAGGCGATACTGCTTCTTCTAAACGTTTCATCGTTCTTCACTATGATCGTCGTTACAGGTTCTTTAATTTCTCATTCAACGCCAACAAATTTTTTTACAGATTTCACAACTCTTTTCTTTTTTTATTATACTACATATATATATATATATATATATATATATATATATATGTATATAGAAAAAAGTTAACCGTGACTAATTAATTAATAATCTATCTTAGTCGGTGAATGTTTCTTAAGTACCTCAATATGTACAATGAATGATAAGTCACATTTTCATATTTTTACGTTTGGTAATAATTAAATACTAGTATTTTATTAAGGAATAAGTTGCAATATAGTACGTTTATGAAACTTAATTTGAAAAGTAGTACAGAGACTATTTACAATTAGAAAAATCCTCATGTTTTACTGTGCGCTACTGTTTGGCTGACTTCCAAACCCTCAACAAACTACTTTATTTACAATCATGCCATTGCAACTTATTCCATAAAAGAAGTAGAAGAAATTCTGGTGAGAGACGAAGATGTGTGTGAGTGTGAGCTCGATGCCCTGTCCGACGGAATATATCTGACGAATTTCGATCCTAAATCGGTTCTTGAAGAATCTGAATATCCCCAATTGTCTTCAATCTCAGGGACATCCTCGTCTCTGTTCAGGTACCTGAGCACCATTCTCATCGGCGGCCGAGATTCCGGTTTTTGGTGACAACAGAGCATACCGACGGCGAGAGCAAGCCTTGCCTCTCCTCGTTTTTTGTTTTCTTTTTAACACAATCTTTTGTTATTGTTATTGTTACCTTATTAATGAATCTTTTTTTTGTTAATTTACAGATTTATTCAACGAGCTTGATCGATAAATTCTCAAACTTTGTTTTCTTCAAGATCTATGGCGGAAGAACATCGATGTCAGACATCGGAAAGCAACCGTCTCTGTGTTAACAACTGTGGCTTCCTCGGCAGCTCCGCCACCATGAATCTCTGTTCTAATTGCTACGGCGATCTCTGTCTCAAACAATAACAACAATCCTCCATCAAATCCACCGTCGAATCTTCCCTCTCCGTATCTCCTCCTTCATCATCATCGGAGATTGCTTCCATATCTTCTCCGATCATCCCTCCTCTCCTTAAAACTCCCTCCGTCAAGCTATTTCGATCGAGGTAAAAGCTAACAGTTTCTATTTGGATTTCTTTCTAGTTATTCTGTTTTTGATCTCGATTTGTTGTGATTAAAGAATTTTGTTGGGTTATTCATTGAAATTGCTACTGTGTTCGTGTGAGAGAGGCAAAGTAATTAGAAACTGTTAGACGAAAATATGTAGTTTTTGTTGGAAACGGATCTTTGATTAATCAAATGTAAGAAGAAGTTGAAAGAAGTGTAGAACAAGAATCGTAAGAAGAGAAGAAGAAGAAGAGGAGAAGGAAAAGAAGTCTGTGTCGTGAAGAGAAAAGAGAAGGAAGAAGAAAGAAGAAAAGGGCCAGATGGGCCAGAAATTAATAGAGGTCCAAATGTGTATTTTTTTTTTTTTTTTTTGGACAAAGAGGCCCAAATGTGTTATTGCATATTTTAATATATCAAAGCTCCATGTAGCACTAAGAGCAACATTATTGGTAGTCTTTTAATATCGGCTCTTAGCATTAGTTTAATATTAAATTTGTAAAGTTTGGAGTTAAGAGATTGTATTTTTGTTTAAAATTTTATGTGTCTCCAATGGTAGTTTCTTAACTTATGGTTCTTAGGAAAAAAAATATCAATATAAAAATAAATTAAATTAACAATTTTAATTAAATATCAATATAAAAATAAAATAAACTAACATGTCACCGCCTCTTAGGATGGTTTGGGCCTCTTAGTTAAGAGACCACTGTACAGAAGACCACTGTACAGATATAAACCATTGTACAAAAGACCACTGTACAGATACAGATATAGACCACTGTACAGATACAGATATAGACCACTGTACAGATACAAATATAGATATAGATATAAACCACTGTACAGAAGACCACTGTACAGATATAGATAAAGACCACTGTACAGAAGACCACTGTACAGATATAGACCACTGTACAAAAGACCACTGTACAGATACAAATATAGACCACTGTACAAATACAAATATAGACCACTCCTTATCATTTTCCACCGCACTCGACTTTTTTTGGCCTCGTGTCGTGTATCTCATGTGTTATAACATGGGTAACTTCAGCATCTAGTTACCGTATTGTTACTGTAATATTTGTAGACTCTTTTTGGTTAGAGTCTTTAGACCCACCCAAACTCATATGTGTTTGGATGTATTGGGAAATTATTTGTATACAAGACTTTACCAACTTTGCCCAAAAAAAAAAAAAAAAAAAAAAAAAACAAGACTTTACCAACTTAATTGAATAATGCATTTGACTAAAGAGAGACTTTACCACTGTATTTGTACAGTGGTCTATATATGTATCTGTACAGTGGTCTATATCTGTATCTGTACAGTGGTCTTTTGTACAATGATCTATATCTGTACAGTGGTCTATATATGTATCTGTACAGTGGTCTATATTTGTATCTGTACAGTGGTCTTTTGTACAATGGTCTATATCTGTACAGTGGTCTATATCTGTACAGTGGTCTTCTGTACAGTGGTTTATATCTATATCTGTACAGTGGTCTTCTGTACAGTGGTCTTCTGTACAGTGGTCTTCTGTACAGTGGGCTTCTCTACAGTGGTCTTCTGTACAGTGGTCTTCTGTACAGTGGTCTTCTGTACAGTGGGCTTCTCTACAGTGGTCTTCTCTACAGTGGTCTTCTGTACAGTGGTTCTATATTTGTATCTGTACAGTGGTCTATATATGTATCTGTACAGTAGTCTATATCTGTATCGGTACAGTGGTCTTTTGTACAATGGTCTATATCTGTACAGTTGTCTTCTGTACAGTGGTCTCTTAACTAAGAGGCCCAAACCATCCTAAGAGGCGGTGACATGTTAGTTTAATTTATTTTATATTAATATTTAATTAAAATTGTTAATTTAATTTATTTTTATATTGATATTTTTTTCCTAAGAACCACAAGTTAAAAAACTACCATTGGAGACACATAAAATTTAAAACAAAAATACAATCTCTTAACTCCAAACTTTACAAATTTAATATTAAACTAATGCTAAGAGCCGATATTAAAAGACTACCAATAATGTTGCTCTTAGTGCTACATGGAGCTTTGATATATTAAAGTATGCAATAACACATTTGGGCCTCTTTGTCCAAAAAAAAAAAAAATACACATTTGGGCCTCTATTAATTTCTGGCCCATCTGGCCCTTTTCTTCTTTCTTCTTCCTTCTCTTTTCTCTTCACGACACAGACTTCTTTTCCTTCTCCTCTTCTTCTTTTTTTCTTCTTACGATTCTTGTTCTACACTTCTTTCAACTTCTTCTTACATTTGATTAATCAAAGATCCATTTCCAACAAAAACTACATATTTTCGTCTAACAGTTTCTAATTACTTTGCCTCTCTCACACGAACACAGTAGCAATTTCAATGAATAACCCAACAAAATTCTTTAATCACAACAAATCGAGATCTGAAACAGAATAACTAGAAAGAAATCCAAATAGAAACTGTTAGCTTTTACCTCGATCGAAAAATAGAACAATAATCCAAATAAGCTAAATCGAGATTCTCGATCTTGGAATCCATGGCGAAAACAAGTCATAGAGGTAATCGTTTCTGCTTTCTCTCTCTCGTAAACTTTCCCTTCTCTCAATCTCGCATAAACACCCATCAATTTTCTGGTGTTTTCTTAAGTTGGCGGAGATGCAACTTTGACGGAGAGAGAAACGAGAGATGAAACAAATAAACACAAAACCCTTTTTGGTCTTTTCTCTTTTCCACTAATATTTCTATCTCACAATTCTCTATCTCACAAGCTGGTCCCACCGACTACTCTTCAAATTGTAAATAGTAACCGTACTACTTTTACAATTATGTTTCAAAAACGTACTACTTTGCAAACAAACCCTTTTATTAATTGGTAGGTTGTGGGAATTGTTTTTGGTGATGTTGGTGGGTTATTCGGCGTGGGCATCTCTGTTCGAGTTGGCTTTTGAAAGAGCAGCTGAAGGAGCTTTAATGACCGTTGATCTCATCGTTGACTTTTTCTTCGCCGTCGATATTATCCTCACTTTTTTCGTTTCTTACTTGGATAAATCTTCTTACCTCGTTGTCGACGACCACAAGCTCATCGCCAAACGGTAAAAGGAGTACTATAAAATAAATAGTACAGATGAATTAGTGACAAATGAAGAAGATATATATTTGCATGCATTAGGTATTTGAAGAGCGTGGCTTTTGTGATGGACATAGCATCAACGTTACCGATTCAGTTCATTTATAAAGCTATTACCGGAAATATCGGACGAGGCCAAGCTTTTGGCTTCCTTAATTTGCTCCGCCTCTGGCGTCTCCGTCGTGTTACCGAACTCTTTAAAAGGTTTCTCTATACTAGCTAGCTACTCTTTCTATATTAAAGTAACTAATGTTGGGCATACTATTCTTCATATATTATATTCCAAAGTGTATCACACATGTACATCACTTTTCTTGTTACAGACTAGAGAAAGACCCACATTTTAACTACTTCCTCATCAGAGTCATCAAACTACTTTGTGTACGTTTTCTTATTCAATTATCAGTACGTACCTACTGTTAGTAATTTCGAACTTGATGACCAATAAGCAAAACAATCACTTGGTGTTATCGATCTTTGACTCAGGTAACGATATTTTGGATACATTTGGCGGGTTGCATTTTGTACTGGATAGCCTTCCATTACCCAAGGCCTACAGAGACATGGATAGGATCACAAGTTGAGGATTTCAAGGAGAGAAGTATATGGTTAGGCTACACTTACTCAATGTACTGGTCCATTGTCACACTCACTACCGTGGGTTACGGCGATCTGCATGCCGTTAATAGCCGTGAGAAGACATTCAACATGTTCTACATGCTTTTCAACATTGGCCTCGCCGCTTATATCATCGGTAACATGACCAATCTAGTTGTACATGGCGCTCTTCGTACATTCGCCATGGTAACTAATCAAATCATTCATTTCCCAAAAATAGTTGTTATGAATCCCACATCAAACGTGAGATGAGACCTAAGTGTATATAAGGATATCAGTCAATCTACTCTGCCAGTCATACAATAATCATTCTTCTTGCTGGACAGAGGAGTGCGATCAATCAAATATTGCAGTACACGAGCAAGAACAGGTTACCGGATACAATGAGGGAGCAGATGCTTGCACATATGCAGCTCAAGTTCAAGACCGCGGAGTTAAGGCAAGAAGAGGTTCTTCAAGACTTACCTAAGGCCATAAGATCAAGCATTAACCAACATCTATTCCGCTCCGTCATCGAGAAGGCTTATCTTTTCAAAGGATTCCCCGAAGGCATCATCGTCCAGCTGGTTATATATCCATCAACATTTCCATTTTGTTTTCTTTTCTTTTCTGGTTCCTTGTTAAACAAGACATTAATTAGTTGTTCTATGTTGTTGTAGGTTTCGCAAATACAAGCAGAATATTTTCCGCCGAAAATGGAGATAATATTGCAGAATGAGATTCCAACGGATTTCTACATAATTGTATCTGGAGGAGTGGTATGATATCTTTGTCCTCGTACATAATATACATTTGAATTCAACTGATTAAAGAAAATTTTGGAATCACAGGATATAATTGCATCCAAGGGTGTGAGTGAACAGGTAAAACTCTTTAAACTAATTTCAGTTAAAAACTAACTAACTACATTTAAATAAATTTAAAAGATTGATGAAGAGAGTGAAGAGTGCGTGCGTTGGTTGATAAATGGTGAAGGTATTGGCCAAGTTAGGTCCTGGAAGTATGGCAGGAGAGATAGGAGTAGTGTTCAACATCCCTCAGCCTTTCACTGTGAGGACACGCCGACTTTCACAAGTTATCAGAATTGGTCATCATAAGTTCAAAGAAATGGTTCAGTCTGATAATGACGTCGACGCCAAAATGATCATAGCCAGTTTCATGACTGTAAGTTCAGATTCACAAAACGATAATATCATCAACAATGTTTATATTGTAACCCTAATAAATAATTAATGTTTTTTTTTCAGTATCTTAAGGGATTGAATGATGAGTTAAAGAAAGAAATTCCTTTTCTTAGAGATTTACTAGCTGACGCAGATGCTCAGGTTCAGGTATATATACGTTCTTATAACAAACGATTGTCAATTGATTTGAGATGAAAACGCATATTATTTGGTGACAGGAAACAGTTCAGACAGAAGAAACACCACAAAGTAACAATGAGGAAATAGTTACGGTCTCAACAGGTGAAAGTAATTAAGAAGACAATTTTTGTAGATTTGGAAATTAAATATAGAGACCCTTTGTTTTACAAAAACAACATTTGATTTGCAGAAGAAGAGAGACGAAGTGAGGGAGTTCCTAAAAGAGTGATAATTCATGGACAAGCTCCTCCTAATCAAGATAACAACAACAATGGTGATTCCAACGGTAGACTTATCATTTTGCCTGATTCTATCCAACTTCTATTCGACTTAGCTGGTCAGTTTCCTTCTTGTGTTATTACTTCTCTTTACTATATACATTGAAAGTTTTAAATATATTTATATTAAGCTTTGATGGATGCAGAGAAGAAGTTGGGGAAACGAGGAAGCACGATTGCAATGGCAGACGGTGCACATGTTGAACAAATTGATGCTCTTCGAGAAAACGATCATTTATATATTTTCTGATTCCTTTAAAAAAATATCTATATTCACTATTAATTATCACTTCCCACACAAAATAATGATATATTTTTGTCAGCGTAAACGTTCTTATGAAAAGAAGCAAAGTCGGATATATGAAAATATAAGGTGAAGATCGAATTCCCGATTCCATTACGTATTATGAACTTGCTTCTTATCTTTTTGACGTCTTGAACTTGAAATTATGTCCGATTGCATTTACTAACAACAAAAGTACCATTTTTGGTATTTTCTCTTATTACTGAAACAACTCTCTCTAAAACACTTGCATCAAAGGCTACTTATTATAAACCATAAAACCATAATCCTAAAAGCAATGATAAAGAAAATAACAATTATTTCATATTTCACACAGCATTGTACATCAAAAAGTTTTATTTGTCCCTTCGGTAACATCCAACAAAAAAAAAGGTATTTGATAGGGTTCGAGCTCAAATAACACACAAAAAAAGTAACCATACAAAATGGATTAGCTAAAGACTCTTTTGTATAATCTAAGTACACCTTTAAAATGACGTGAAACTTCTCAAGTTGAAGTAGTAGTCTATGCTCTCTAGTCTCTTCTCAAGCAGCCATAAGACTGATGCCCTTTCCCCTTCTGCTATGCTTTTCTACCACACATTCCGAACATGACACAGATGAGACGAAACTTCTGTAAGGACTCCTAGAAAACGGAGGATCAGTTCATTTTGAGCTGGATTTGGCGATGGACTTGCACGAGAAACTCCACATACGACGGGCCGCTTGCGGTCCTGTCCTCTACCATATACGAGAGAAACAACATTCCTGAAAAGTACCAAATATCATAAGAACAAATCAGCATTGACAAGGTTTTATGAAACCAACACTGAGTAAGCAACAATACATGTTCATGAAATCTAAAAATATTATGTTCATTTCCCAAAGGAATATTAGATGACAGGAGCTATGCTGTTGATTCTCTTTCCAGTTAGCTATTAATCGAGAGAAGACCGACCATAGAAACTTAGCTATTAATGTAAGAGTGATCATGTAGCAAACAGGAAAAGATAAATAACATGTATCCTTTGTAGTTAGTGCTAAGACTTGGTTGAAATCCGTCCAGAATTACTCACCTGATGGATCTCCCTTCTTGCACAATTTTATTCTGTGTAGATAAAACATAAAGCGTTGGAAGGATTAGGCTGGAAAAGGTTCAGTTAGGAGATAAAAAGGACAGATACTGAGATTTTTGCTAGATACCTTAGGTAAGAACATCTTTGCCTCCTTATTTCATTCACAGCATCATTGAACTTCTTTGATAACTGATTATCATACTGCTGCAGCACATACTACAAAGAAAACACAGGTGATCATTGATTAGCAGGGTTCAAAAATGCCAGAAAAAAGAGTTTCTTCTCTCAAGGTTTCAATAATGTGATAGGTAATATGATGAAACAATCACAACAGTCATATACTGCTGCAGCACATACTACAAAGAAAACACAGGTGATCATTGATTAGCAGGGTTCAAAAATGCCAGAAAAAAAGAGTTTCTTCTCTCAAGGTTTCAATAATGTGATAGGTAATATGATCGTGCAATAAAATAATATAAAATTAAGATGTTGTTGCTATTTAATCATCCTACAATTCCATGTGCTAATGAAGAGAAATTAAGATTACCTGGCTAGGAATTTCAGCAGCTGAAGGAACACCAAAAAGTTTCTGCAGAATATCAGAGTCTACTGATTCGCCAACATATAGTAGACCGTCTTCACCATTCTCAAGAAAATAAACTCCCTCATTGCTAATGTGTTCACTTGACAATGGGATTGGAGGAGGAAGAACCGATCCCTCATTGTCCTGATAAATTAAAAAGCAAGAATAATAAAAAATTTCACAAACTGCATATATAAGTCTTGAGATATATATATTAACGAAAAGTAGCCCCATCATACCTTCGCATCAAGGTCGTGAACAGAAATCATCCTGGGATAAACCAATGGGATTGCCAAAGGAGTAGAAAGGGAAGATACATAGTTGATCCAGAATGATCGATCATCAATTCTCCCATCCGTCCTTAAACCCACACTTTTGGTCAATGCTGAGGAAGACCCATGTAAAAGGAAATAACAACAAATCAAAATCTATTTTTATTACTCCTTTCCTAACACTCAGCATAGGAGAAACAAAAACAGATAGCGGGTAAGACAATTTGTACTTGTAATTCAAACAGAACAGATTTCCAAACATCTGAAGAAATTAAGGTATCTAACTTGCTGCTCCAGTATGGTAGGCCACAGGTAATTACCACAAAGTTAGCAGAAAACGAAAACAACTGTCACTTAATATCTTCTAGAAGATATTCACTTCTAATTCAAGATAAGGGATGGGAAAAAATTTGCATTGCACACAAGAGAACCAAATGTTGTGTAAAATTAACTTAAAGTTGATAAAAGACACAAGGAAATACCAAGAGTATATAATGGAAATAGCTTGAGCGCCTCGGGAAGAATAAGTTGTCCAGATGATGTCACTGTAGCACAAAATTTACGGTAGGCATAGAGTGCATTTATGCAACTATTAGTTGCTTGCTCCTTTACCAGTGGAAGTGCCTTTGAAGGAATTTCATTAGCCGCTGAATAAAAAACAACCCAGAAATTGTTACATAATCTTAACACGGATAGCAGTAGAATCAGCACTGAAAACAGTGACCTACCTTGTTTCAGCATACAAGCAAATTGAGAATCTAAGTCAGCTGCGCGAAACAAATTACTGAGCATGTTCGTACAGGAGAGTGATAATGTGGTAACCCTAATTCTTCTTTCTCCATATATTGTAGTATACAGAAGGGCGCACTAACAAAAACATAGAATAACATCATTTTAAATGGGAAAGAGTACCAACATTTTTCCGCAAGGTACATGAATATAAATTACATAATATACCTGGAAAGCACATTCAGCTCCATCTTGTAGTTTGTCATCATGCTTTAACGTCACCATTACAGCTTTGTCACAGTCAATCTGCAGTGTCAACAGTAAAAGAGTTTATACCATAGTGCATCTTCTTGTAAACTTGCAGCAAAAAAAATTATATGTTGTCCTATTGACTAACATTGTGTTAGCTTAAACAGCAGAGCAGTTGAATCATATATATCCATAATTCCAGATTCAACAACTTTCGCTAGGGACCACATACAGAGATATGTTTTCAATGATATTGACAGGGAATCAGTAGACACACACAATGCAATCCAAAACTAATAAGTGGGAAATGTTCAGGAGGATCCACTCACCGCTGGTAAATCAATGTCAGTTGGAATGCGTTTGCAGAAATTCCCTGAGTATTCTTGCACTTGAATACCCTACGATTAATGGAAACGGTGGTTTAAAGAAAATTAGCCTTAAGCTGGAGTTAACAGAGTAATGCATGAAGAGAACCCTCCACCGCAAAAACATACCTGGCTGCATCTGACTCGCATGACAGCCTCAAAACCCTGTGGCCTAGTAATATTCCATTTAAGATCATTGTAAAGCTTGGGAGGATCTGAGAGAGCTGAGAAAGGGTAATAACAATACACCTGGAAAAAATTGTTAAAGATGGAAAGTTTTAAGTGCGGTAAAACCTAGACGTCAAGCTCAACATGGATAACGATTAACAGTGCATCAAGTAAGAAAGACTTTCATAGACTATCGGCAGTTAGGATTGCAAAGTTGTCACAGAAATATTCCATAGGGTAAATGCATTCGATTGATAGAGACAAGAAAGACTCTGTTAATAAGAATTTCTATTGAACGGTGATAGTTAGAAGTTACAACTAAAGTTAAGGGGGAAAAAGAAGGAATATTGATAATCAGAAAGGATAAGGAATATTGGAATATACCTGTCCTCCAGTAGTTCTTGGAATGACGGAAATTGAAGCCATGTCAACATAGGCCTGAGCTGTGATAAATATATCTACACAGACCTGAGACATATATGGATGTCTTAGATAGGGACAAAATATTGCAATTGAGAGAGCAGATGTAAACATTATCAGTAAGATTCGAACATAATCCTATTGGTATACCTGGTATTCAGCAAATTCAATAGCCATGGTCTTTAGAGTTTTGTCTGCCGGTTGTAGTAATTTATGGGCTTCCTGAAATCAAAAAATTACAGGACGATTTAATATTTTGCAATGAACCACTACATTCTTTGGAACGAAAAAACGAAGAAGCATTGTTACCTTTTCACCAGCAGACATATTAGCTCTCCCTTCAGCCTCTCTAGAAGAAAGTGCTCCAACACCAACAGAACACAAAACTATGGAAAAGTTATAGAGGAATTGAGCAGTAATATGTATTACAAATAGTGAGAGTTGGTGCTTTTAATAAATTCTATAATTTTCAATGTGCATACATGGATTCTAAGTGACTGGAAGCATATGCATCAATATACCCTAATATATAAAATACCCAAATAGAGTAAGCATCATACTTGATTGAAATACCATAAGCTTCCCTCCTTTGCTCTTCATCGCCAAGAAAGCAGCCTACAGAAAAGGAGTTGTTAGAAACGAAAGTCACACATGTGGAGACTAGTAGATATTATCCTCGGCATTTTCCCAAAAAAAAGGAGCAATGGTTCATTAGATTTGATCTCAGCATAAAAATATGTGAGCTTGGCAACATCGGCAAATTAACTTGAGATGTCGCTTCATTGATTGCTTTTAACCAGATTATAAAATAACCTCAAAACTAGTTGACAAAGGTCTAGTGCTTACTAAACGACAAACTCATGAAATCGAGAAGGCCATCATATGTGCCAAACTTCTACTTGTATTGCATATGCATCTTAGCAATTACGTACCTTAACTGCTGCACCAAAAGCAGATTCAGGAGTTTTACTTTCCTGAAACATTGTTGGGATACTATCCAGCAAAAGCTCTAGATGTTGACGGCACTGAACTCCATCAATATGCAATATATACAAAAAGTATGAGAAAGAAATTAGGAAAACCAATCTTAATAATAGCAGCCAGCTTATACGAAACATTGACAAACAAGGGGAAAAACTAATCAGGGAGTGCCCAAATAGAAAACAAATGGTCCAGAACTGACCTCAGATAGCTGAACAATGACATCTGTTTCTAAAGGTGTATAAACATCTTGTACATCAGGGACAATGAGCATTAATGGCTGCACATAAGGAAGGAAAAACAAATTAACAGGAAGCAGTAATCAGTTGAACTTCTCCAAGATTCCATGAAGAGAAAGAAACAGCACCATCGGAAATCATAGTATCAAAGGGATGCTGAGTACAACTCTTAATTGGAAATAACTTTTATGGTATAATAAAAGAATATATAGATATTTTCGTGCCAATGCAATAACTTTCAAGTGAAGTAACATATACACAATAGGACTGATGACCATCTAGTTATGATCCGAGAGAACAGATCTCGTTTTTTTCCATCCAACAATTACAAAAGAAGAAAAAAAACTAGTGCAAACAAGTCACCTGCTGCAGTGCACGTTTCAAATTATAGAAGTGGATTGTTGAGTCAAATGTAGCAATCCCAACAAATGTCCTAGGACCTTCCTGCAAATGAATACAGAAATTTTTTAATTGTCTAATGGCTAAGAAAAATAAGAATTATATAGCCATTGGTAACATAACCATACCCTAACAAAAGTTCATAGTCTAACTAAAGATAAGGTACACACGCTAAGAGATACGCAGCAGAAGCTACTCTCTAAATGATTCAGATATGAACGCCTTAGTATGCAAAGGCGTGATGCCAGTAACAAGCAAATACAAACTATCACTAAAGAACCTCAAAAGGTTTGGACAGGGACTGTTACTTAATTTCTAATACCACCAAAATAGTTAAGTCTTCAGACACATGTAAACCAAATAATATTCAGAACAGGGTGGATATAACTGACTGTTTTGGAAAGTTGGAAATGGTGACAAAACTTACAGGAAGGTCTGAAAGTACTTGCTGGATTGCATTGCAAGCAGCGGCAGTAGCACCTGTTTGTACCGCATTCATTGAGACATCAATGAGGAAAAAATACACTGCTGGCATTGGATCCCGTACCTACCAGAAAAAATAATGACCTTAATTTCCATCCATTCCCGACATGTCTGATCATCAACTTCTCCCAAAACGACGTTAATACCAATATCTTAGCTAGAAGGTAATTTAGGTGGTAGTTGAATAGATCAACAGTACAGTATGTATAGAAAAATCGTTTTCCACCGTAGTAATAGGTTAAAAAATTTCGGGAAACACACAAAATCAGAGGACAGAACACTTTGTCAAATACAATGGTAGATTCCAGACCACATAAAATAAATTGGCATCTTATGAAACAACAAAACCAAAGAATTTTACATTTATAAGCAGAAAGTCTCACAAACTAACCATGTATTCTTTTGTAGCAACAAACTCAACGGTTCCCCTACATAGCTCAGGTCTTTCATCAACGTCCCTACGTCTACCATCTGGACCCAGATTACAGTGATAGTCACGGGGAGTCTCATCAGTGTATCCTGTGCAAAAGAAAGTTGATAAGGAAATGGATCTCAAAGCTTCCCACATCAACGAACTCCCAAAAGAATAGAACAATAACAATATATAAGCATCTCTCTTAAACAAAATCATATCGCCATCTTCCACAATTAGGTGAAATCCAGATTGACAGAAGAAATCTTTCAATCCAGGAAGGTAAAGCACAAAAATGTTAGTCTACGCTTCTAGCTCAGAATATTCAATTATTACATAACTTGATGCATACTATTGCAGTTACATAAGCTATAACTTCAGATTTTGTGGCTTGCATAACTGAAAACAGTAACATTTACCACAGAAATTACAGATGAACTTCCTTCCTTGGTCAATGAACTTCATGAAAGGATTTATGTAACCCTTACAGCGTGAACATCGAACAGGCCCACCCTCACCAAAGTCCACAACCTGCACCATAGTATAGTAAGATGTAAATGAAAACTTATATGTCAAACACACAAATTTATACACTTCACAATGAACTGCAAAGATACTGGTATATGCGATCAATAAGACCAAATGGGGATGCAAATACATGCTTTGTTTGGTCAGACAAGGCTTACTTGTATAGGCTCTTCAGATGGATGAGAAAGCGCCAGCGGTTGGACCATCAACGCCAGTTGCATTCCAGATGTAGATAGAAGATCAACTGTACATGGGATCTATTACGGAAAAGGGAACAAAAAAATGTATCAAGTTCCTAAGAATCAAAGAATACAATGAGAAAATATTGAACTGCAACACATGCAACCATCAAATAATCTATGCTTCATTGTTACCTGATTGATCGTACACCTCATGTAACGGGGACTACAATTTCCAGTGTCTCGAACAACATAATCACTAGTAGCAGGCTTCAAAAAATAGAAGAAAAATTCAGGAGAAAGATATAGCAGTTCTACAAAACCCACAAACAAAAGATATGACATCTCAGACTAATGTCTGAATTTAAATTTGATCAGGTATACACACCGGGGGAGGATTAGCCTGATTATTCTGGCGAGTTTCAAACACAGTTGGGCTGGAGCTTGAACCTGGCCTTGGGATTTGATTAGGATCAATTCTTGAGGGTCCAGGAACAGAGGCACCGGGTTGGCCCATGGCAGTGGGTATGTTGGTCATCGACTGATTTGGCAAAGGACCCATGCCATATCTTGGTGGTTGCATTGGGCCAGGAAAGCCTAGAGGAGGGGGGACCTACCAACATTCAAATTTGAAGACCATCAGAATCTGCCACACAAAGGGAATACATCAAGTGAAAAGATTTTGCTTAACAATAAAAAAGAGAGCCACAAGCTAAAGCACTACATAAGTTGTTGCTTAATTGATTACAAGACAGAATCCTGCCATGCCAGTTCATATCTTTCACGGTCAAAATATTACAAAGATTAGTCAACTAGTATGGTTCCTGTCTGAATGAATTTGAATATACATCTACATTATTTGGTGATTACCTCACGGCATCACATGTTTTCATCATTCCATACATTGAATTCACAAAAGTTACATAACAAGAACATATACCATAACCGTATCTGCACATTACCTGCGCTGATGGTGGACCGTAAGGCAAGTTTGATACCGCTGGCCTGCCATGAGGGGCTCCAGGAAAGGTTGCCGGTGGGGGCATTGAAGGAGCAGTAGACAGATTTAATGGTGGATTTCCAGAAAGAGAATGTGTACCTAGTGGCTGCGGAGGAGCCCGAGCGAAAGGTGCTGAAGGAGGCTGCATATAGGGTGCCTGTGGAGTTGTAACAGCAGCACCAGGGAACTGGGTTCCTCTCGGAAATCCCCCTGAACCAGCCATTTGATGCCCATTACTGACTGGACCACCAAGCATGCCTGAGGGAGGCATAGACATGCCAGATCCGATAGGTGGAGGTGAACCAAATGCCATTGGGCGAGCTCCTGGAGGAGGACCTGCAGCTACGCTACCTGATGGACCAAAAGCTGGAAAACCACTAGATGAGGCGGCAGGCTGCGGGACTGGTCCTCCAGGCATTGATGGTCTAGAGCCAAATGGTGGCTGACTAGAAGGTGGACCAGTGGGTCTGTTCAAGGGTGCATTTGACTGAAATCCAGCTGGTTGTGATCCCGGAGGAGGACCACCTGGCCTCGCCATCCCAGCAGGAGGTCCAGGCCGGGACATGGGTGAAGGCCCACGTTGAGGAGCTCCATAAGAAGGGGATTGCTGAGGGAAAGGCTGTGGTGACTGACCAAAAGGAGGAGGTGGTCTAGGACCTGAGCCAGGCATCATCGGAGGTGGTCGATTCAAGCTCAAATTCTGCATATTGTCGGCTAAAGAATTTGAGTTCCCTTGTGAACCCGGGTAGAAATTTGATGGCCCAGCAGTTTGCTGGCTGTTGGGTCTAGGTGGCCCTGGAGGCACAGGAGCAACCATGCTTGGATACGAGATGGAGATCAAATCCTAAACCTTGCTAAACAATCTAAAGTTTCCAGTGTGTTCCAAAACCTACAAATCCAAGTTAATTAATCAGAAAATTAAAGAAACAAACAACACTGGCACATAACAGCAACTTCTTCTTGAAAGCAGCACATACAATTTCAAACAATAATCATCGAAAGGCAAGATTTTTTTTATTGCTTTAGATCAGAAAGACCCCATCAACACCATAAACAAAGAGGACGAATCTAGAAAGCTTCATCAATGGTAATAAACTAATAAATCAGGAAACCGAAATCTGATCCAAAGGAAAAAAAAAAAAAAAAAGGCAAGAATCTCAGAAGGGCTATCGAGAAAATTCAAATACGTACCTGAATTGAGCTAAAGCGTGGAAATTCTTCTTAAGATTTGACTGATAGCGATCGGGAAATATTGGTAGAAGCTCAGATCTATGGAACAGAGTGAGAAAGAGAGAGAGAGAGATACACAGCGACGACGGTTAACGGCGTCGGTGTGTGTCACAGGATTCAGACGACCAATCAAAACTAAAAATTCGTTGTCCGTAGAAGACAGAAAATTCACACTATCTTTTACCAAAATTTCAACAAAAACCAAGGGCACATGAATAAATACGTTAAATTAGAACAAGAGTTGGAACTTGGAACTAAAATATATTTACGAAAAAAAAAAAGGAACTAAAAAAGATTTATTATTTAGCTGGTCAACGTTTGGTTAATTGGTTCAATTCAATGCTAGAAAAGTTTGGTATTATATGTCAAAAATATACAAAATTTATTCAATTCTATTTTATTTTGTTAAACGCCATAAATCTTTAATTTATGCGTAAATTAATGTTTAATAAGAAACTAATAAATTTTTTATTTTGTTGAACTATTTGCTATTTGTTTGGTTGTTTACATTTTACACATGCAATTTCGGATGACAAAAAAAAAAAAAAAAAAAAAAATTTACACATGCACACTATAAGATTGTCCATGGCTATTGGTGGAACAAGCTTTGTATATAAATTACATAGATTTATAATCTTATGGTTACAACTTACAAGTTATAACTTTCCATATCAATGTACAATTTGATCAAGAAGCAATAGTAGATGATTGGAACCTCTGTTTCATCTTCAAGCAAGTCATGCTTAAGAGTCAAATCTTTAAAAGGTTTATATATAATCTCATCCCATTTCCATAAAATTGCTCCTAATCAGAAATCTTCTGCATTAAGCTCTCTCTCATTCAAAGGGATTTCCTCTGGAAATATAAGCATTTGGGTTTTCACAAGGATATCCATTGTTTGCTTGATGAAATGTATGTGCTCCGTTGAACGTATTTCCTTCAGTACCGAAGCCACTATACTCTTGCCTTTGCGCCCACAAAAATCAATTTAGTTTCAAGAACCATTCAAAGAACACTAATTAAGAAGAGTCGGAGTATGTATGTACCTGAATGATGGGGACATATTCACCTGTGATTGATGCCCCATTAGTGCACCTGTTTCACCAGGTTTCAACTCTTAGAATATTTATAAATTCCAACCAATGAAACTGTCTTCTTACAGAAATTTTGTCTCACCAGGGGAAAGATTGGATGCAAGAGCTGGAGAGTTTGGGGATAAAGCGGTTGTATGAAAAGGTGACTGAGAGGTCATCAGTCCAATGGAATCTGCAGCTGGACTTGCAGAATCTGAATACCCTATCGGAGCTGACACGTGTGGTAAGCCTCCTCCTTGCACATATGCCATGGAAGGAAACTGTAAAAGACATATTAAAGAGAAAGGAAGTGAGTAATATATTTGCATTTTCATCAAATATACTAACAAGAAATTAACTCTAGGATTCATACTTGTGGTGTTTGGTTTGGAGTTGTATCATCATAGCTAAGATCAAAGGGATTTGCTGGTTTTGCTGTATATGTTATGGCTCCCATAGCCTGCTAAGGAAGGATCGATATCAGCATAAAACCAGATGCTGTGATTATCAGGCCAAATTATTATGTCAATGGAGCATATACCATAGGATATTGATAATATTGCACGCCATATCCCATTCCATGATGTTGACCATGAACTTGCTGTGGGGCAAATGAGAAGCCTCCAGAGAAAAGGTCCTGCCAATGGTTAGATTCTTATGATCAAAGATTCCCAAAAGAGTATCCAAATTTCTCTTATAAGAGAAAGGTTTGTTACCTCGGGAAGCGCCTTTCTTATGCTAGATTGTGTCTCATCTCGATGATCATGCTCAGATCCAACTCCATGAGCATAATTTGTGATAGCCAGTGTTGACTGTTCCATAGAGAAATCTGATGGTCCCTTAATGATGTAGATACCACATGTGTTTTCAAAGCGTTAGCACATGAAGAGAACAAGTTTTTATGGAAATTTTTACTTTTGATTCTTTTTAAAAATCCGGTTACATGAATTCAAGAACATCTTTGTAAATGTGTGTTTAAACTACTCCAGACACCAACCTGGTTATTTGCAGCTACACTTGGTGTAGCCGTCTCTTTTGTATTTAAGTTATCAGGAGCAACAGGTACCACAGGACCTGAAGAACCAGCATTAGCATGTACAGTTGTTGGTGATGTGACAAAAGAGGTAACATTATCTGGTATTCCTGGCATTGTCTGAGTCCCGAGGTTAGCTGCGGTATAATTGTCTGTAGAAGAAATATCACTTGTGTTCCATAGTTCAGAGTTGTTTGTTCCAGGGACAACAGAAGGAACAGAGGGTCCAATAGAGGGTCCAAACAACAAAGCTTCCAAAGAATTAGGAGCTGGCCCCTCAGTGGTCTTTAGAGATGTAAGAATTTCACTTGAACTCTTACTAATGCTTTCATCAGATGGTTCTGAAACTGGTACATCATCATCAATTAAACTTCTAGGACTCTCCATTTTCTCAGATGATGCAGTCATCTGCAAAATGCAACTTGTTCACATATTAACTGTAGACAAAATGCAGAAAACACAATGAAATAGATATAACTGTAGATTACCTGAGTATTCACTGGATCCTTCTTTTTTTCAACTTTTACAACATTGAGTTCGCTGGTATGGCGTACAATGGGAAAGCTTGGCATGTCTTTGTTACTTGAGAGGTCAAGTGATTTGGAGCTTCCTCTTGACTCCTTACGTGCATCATATCTCTTAACAGTTCCATCGTCTCTAAACCTATCATCCACTATCTCAAAGCGAATAGGACTCTTTGGTAAACCTCTAGACCTTGGATTATGCGTAACATGTTGTTGTTTATGGTTCTTGTCATCAAAATAAAACATGAGAGATTCACTTCCACTCCTCCCAACAGCACTAGATCTTTCGATTTCAGATTTATCCAGAGAGTGTAAACTTCTAGATCCGAGAAAATTTGCACTGGCCTTCTTACTTTCCCTGTAATCTTCTATGACATCCTGAATGGAAACAACCATAAAGTTGCCAAAAAAAATAAAATGAAAAAATGTGTAAAGAAGAACATCCTCAACATTGTAACATATGATGTTGTCCCCAAAATGAGTTGGAACACTTAGCTTCAGGTTTAGCTAAGTTGAATAAAGAAGTACTTACCACGAAAAAGGTTAATGTAATGAAGTAAAAAAAAAAGAAAAGCAGTTTACCGATTTCTGCCGTGAGAGCTTGTCATTGCTCCGATCACTGCTACTGTATCTTTTTTCCACATAAACATTCCTGATGAAATCTCGGAGCTTGAAAATATTACTGAACAGGAAGAAATAAAATGGGGGTTAACATATAGTATTGCTACTGATCCTAGTGTTAACTTGGCTGAGATTAATTAAATGTCCAAGAACCTGCCATCGGGGTAACCATCACGGTGAGTATCCCATTCTTTAAAATAAATTTGTCTGGCTCGCTGCAGAGAACACAATGAAAGTTTACACTAGAACATGGATGATTAACACAAAATTAATGAGAAGCTCAATATCAAACCTCGTTTCCTCCTGCGCGAAGCGCACTAACTTCTTCTGCTGTGAACTTGGCCATTGATACAGATTTAACACGATGTGTGAATTCTCGACTGGACATATACACAAAAAGAAACACGTGATATGAAGAACAAACACTTGCAAGTTCCAGAGTTTTCCTTGGATTGATAGAGAAAGGGATCAAAAGAAAAAATGAAAGGAGAAGAGGAAAAGACTTACTGGATTCCGCTGCAGTTTATGCAGACAAAAGTCCAGAAAGTTGAGCAGACATATTGTGGACCCTGAAAGATTCAGATGTTAAAATTAAACACAAAACTACAATGAGCTAGTTTATATGTGCTATTCAAAAAGAATGCATTCACTCAGCTAAAAATGTTGTACCAACCAGACTATTGCAATTGATGCATCTTCGGTTCTCAGGAAGCTTCAATAAACTCCGGATAGCCTTTTCGGTTCGCTCGTCTTCCTTCATCCTGCTCCCCATTCTTGGAAAAATGCCTCTCTCATCAAGAAAAACAATATCTCAAATGAGAAATCCTATCAAAGAGCAATGTCATCATTTACCTGAGAAGAAATTACTATCTTAAGCCAAAAGCATTGAGGTTATTCTCTCGTGCATGTTTCAATCTTTAATCTTACGGGGGTGCAATTGAATGACTTTTATATCGAAACTCATCACGCGTTACACATAATCTAATGTTTTCCTGATAGTTACATTAACCGAATATAACTCATGTAAAAGGCGAGAAACATGAGAAATTTCAAGCTTGAAGCCCTTTGTGTTCTAAAATGTTCAAAGAAGAAAAAAGAAGAGAAGAGAAAAACCTTACAAAGAGAAGATGAGGAACCAGTTGAAAAAAGAGAAATGGAGGTGGAAAGAAGAGAAAGAACCTCTCTCAGCTTCTCCAAGAGATGACAAAAATAGAGAAAGGAGAGATGAAGCCAGCAAACGAATGAGACATCTTCCGACAAAACTGCTAACTTCAAAGATTTCCCGCCGTTGGATTTTCTATCACCACTCTTCTCTCATTTTACAAGTTACAAAAAATATATTCTTGACAACAAAAAATGATTCTGTATTACGCCAAAAAATATATACTAAATTTTTGGAACGAGTATTGACAAATGCGATTTAAGATATAGTTTTATAATTATATGACTATTTTAGGTACAAGTATAACCAACTATAAGAATTTTTTAAGTCATGGCAAGTGTTGCAAGTTTGGCTTCGTTTCCATATTTTTTCAAACATTGATGATCTTAGCTAAAAAGCAAAAGAAGGCAGAGAAGAGATGTGGAGAAGAAGAGCCCCGCGAAATACTTGCAGTAGAAGAATCTTTTTGCTCAAACTAAATCTCTCTAACAAAATAAGCTAATAAACCAAATTACTTACAATCTCCTCTTTTCTTTTTTTCTCTTTTTTTTTTGTTTTGTTTTACCATCTCCTCATTTTGTCTCTCTTCTTAACCTACTAAGAACGTTCCCAGCCGATGGGTACATGAGATCAAGTTTCAGAGTCCCGATTCGGTGTTATTGCTGCATCAAACTATAGCTTACTTAAAGCAGAGGGAGGCAAATCTCTGTACAGTGGATCTCATTTGCGTCGTCTTTAATTCGTGTCAAGACCAGCTCGTGTGACGAACAGGACACGTCAAATCCCTCTCTCTCTTCTTTTGCTCAGGAGGTGACATAACCCAGACTAACAAAAGTGGTATCTATCGACTCATCCTTCGCTTGAGCTTTCTAACCCATTGTTGCTTAGGTCCACAGAAGAAGCTTTAACTGCCTCTGCACACATGAGAGCAGCTGCAGCTTTCTGGATCGCTAGATCTGCTTTGTACCTCAAACTCTCTGCTCTTTCTCGCTTGAGCTTCGCCAATGCGCATGCTCGCCTTGCAGCACCAGCTGCATCTCGCAATTTGTACTCATCAATATCTGTACTATTCTGTAATTCTTCCAGATCAGGACGCTGAGATCCGTTAGAGTAACAGACAAGATTGGAACTGGGGCATTCAGAATAGCCTCCATCCCATCGTTCACTCGTATTCCTCTTCCCATTGACTCTTTGCAACTTGTTTTGGTGATTCCTATGATATCCATTTCCACCGCTCGAGAAATATCCCATGCCTAGGTCACGGGGGGAATATGTTCCCGGATGCATAGGATATTCATTCACGTTCTCATAGCTTTGATTTGAATATAAAAACCTCTCATCTCCAGAGGCAAAACCAACAGGTCTTCTTCCTGCTAGAGAAATGGAAATGTTGGATTAAACACAGACTTCATATAGAAAAATCAGAGCTAATAGAGGATTTATAGAAAACCAAGCAGGTAAAAATGAGTTACCTGATGAATTATAGACATCATAATCTCCCAAAGTAGAACTATGTTGAGCATAAACCGAGATTTTCTTCTGTGACCTGTGTTTTGTTCCCCTGTGTTTGACTTCCAAACCTCGAGGCTTAAAACAGAAAGCAAACATTGCTGGCTTCTCAATAGGTGACTGTTTCTTCTGTGACCCACAGGAATTTGGAGTGTTTGCTTTGCTCATAACCAACTCCCAGTCTTTGAGCTCTTTTAGATATTTTTCCCACAGAGGTGGCTGAATTGCAGGGGTAGAAAACAAGTGTTTACGTTAGGCACAATTAAAAATATTGCAGCAGAGTGAACTACATTTTTGTTGAGCCAGTAACTAAGTTTAATCGAAAAGGAGTAAAATCGACAGAGTATAGAAGATGCTACAGTTTTGGACTTCCAGACATCTTCGTGCAAAACAAAATGGAAAGCAAAAAGATGCACTTTTTCCCCTAGTAGACGTTCCATTTTGCATAAAACACCCACCAAGTCATAAAATATCCTGAAAAGAACACTACACAATACCTAAAAGACAGATTTTTAGGTACATATTCACCAGTCCCTATTGTCCACAATTCTGAATTTCACCCCAAGTACAAAAAAATCTATATTGAGCCTAGCCATGCAGATTTTTAAATCTCAAGACAAACATGAAAGAAAAATGAAAATCAAATAACTAATAAAAGATGGGAAGATATCAGGGATTATACCTGAAGATGCCTGATTAACGGCATTCCCTTCCTCTGCCTCTTTATTCTCCAAAGCTCATATATTGTTTCCATTGCTTCCAAGGATCCCACTCCAGCCGTCAATTCTTGAATTTCGATTAAGGTAAAGTGATCACGCTGCTTTACATACGAAGCCTTCTCAAACAAGTCCATTGCCTTCTCAAACATGTCCTCAGTGATCTCACAAGAGCCACTATTCTCAGCATCCGAACACTCACGAATTCTCAAAAGGCACTGCTCATCATCGCTGTCCATGTCATACAAAACACGTGAAGGATCTAATGCCATCTCAACATCAGTTTCAGTCTGCCGAAAATATTTAGAAGAACTGCGAATATATTCAGTTTCTGTTCCATCAGAATTTTCCCTTTCTATCATCCGGATGCCAGGAATAGGAATATTTCTAACTAAAGCAGCCCGACTATTTCTATTGTAGCACTCTTCATGCATCTCTTTAAAAAGGGACCACTGTCCCCTATCAGGGAACTCCAGGGTCCAATCTTTTCCACCTTTCCACATCATAGCATGTGTAAACCTATTCACTGACCCAGGTTGCAGAAACTGATGTGCCCTGTGTGAGTATTTTGTTGTCCCTGAGATTTTCACCGCAAGTCTCCATTCATTATTATCAAAAGGTTCCAAGAAAATCTGAGCTCCATATTCTCTCCAGCCTCTGTCACCAAGAGTGACTAATATATTGGCATCACATAAACTAGACTCCAAATCTTTCTGAATACCTCTGGAAACATCAGTAGTAGACCTCCTAATTCTTTTGTTCGGAAGCCCCTTGTGCAGAGAACTTTTGTTTCTAGAATCAGAACCTCCAGAAGGCAATGAATAAGACACTTGGGTACGTCGCTTCTTAGGTCCATTTGCCAAATTAGTGTGCAGAAAGTCTCCCTTCGAATCCGACCAACCATGTGAGAGATGGCCATTTAAAGAACTTTTACTTCGACTCCACATACTTCTAGGGGCAGTGGCCTTTGGACTTGATATGTTACCTTGAATATTCAAGGCCAGATTACTAGACTGCGGAGTACCATCCTCACAATGATCAGATACTGGAACTTGAATACTAATCCCATTCACTGGAACTTTAGACCTGGTTTCATGCTTATGTCTGACAACAGAAGAACTGACTGACACCCAGTTTTCAGAATCAGACCCCAGCTGCTGCCTTTGAGACGAAGTATGAAGATCTTTTGACTCTTCCGCTTCTTGCGCTCTGGAAGAAGTGATAATTGGTTCATCACTCTGGCCCTTACTCTTGAAAGAGGATTCAGAATGTTCATTTGTGCAATCTGCCATATCACAACCTCTATCTGTTACCAAATCGCGTTCTGCTCCTAGGAAGTCTGCTGAATCATGACCCAGCTCCCTTATCATGTTCAGGTGTAAACTGAGTAACAGAGTAGGTGGCCGAGCAGTAAAAGGAAGTGCAAATGGAGACGTATTTTCCGATCCTCTAGATACAAGGCCTGACCTGATTCCATGCCTAGATCTCTTCTGCATAACCTGATGTTCAAGATTTGTAAAAAAACGAGTTGGTATGAGATTATATAGATATAAAACTAAAAACCAACGAAGCAATGTACCAGAATCATGCATTAAAGAATCAATGTACCTTCTGCAGGACCTTCATGTTATCGTGTGTACACTCTGCAATTGATACTTGCTTAACTAGCAAAGAATGCCTCCTGACATTCTGTTCCAAGTATGACCACTTTGAATGTTTAACTTCATGGAAACTGTAGAATTGAAATGCAAGCTGCCTTTGGAAACCTGGGATGCAAGAAACTTGGAGACCAATTGCGAAAACTGGCAACTGCAAGTCAGCATCCGCTCCTTGTGCTCCTTGCTTATTAGAATGATCTACTACCATCAAGATACGGAAAATCAATTGAACAACTTCCATTAAGGAGCCTTCAAAAATTAGATACCTTAACCCATCTTGGTTATTCAGGAAAACCATTTCCAAACAAACCCTTGGCCACAAAGTCACAAGTGTACCATGACGAAGCAAAAGAGCAACACGTGAAAGCCAGTCAACATCCGCCATAAGAAAATAGCTCATCAAGGAAACACCATGTAGGCTGAAGGACAACTCAAATTGCTCTGTGTCATTCCACGGACAACAAAGCTCCAGATCCCCAGAATCATCAATAGGCAAAAACTCTACATCAGGATCCGGACTTTTTGATATATGAAACTGCTTCAAAACCTCAACATGATTGTCATATGACCCCTTGTAGATTTCCTTTTTTGCTGTATGAAGTCGTCTCCTACAATAGACAATAGGAAATATGCTACCATTACGAAAACCAGAGCTTTCCAACTCATTTCCACTTGGTCCAGGTAATCCACATAATGCAAGAGAACTAGCAGATCTATCTGTGAACTGTCCTACAGTGTCTCTAACAACATTCCCATTCATTTTCACAGTTTCATTGGATGTCATTACTTCAGATTTTTTCCGTTTTTGTACAGCCTTAACAGTGGAAGATTTGTCCCGATGCCTAGACCGAGCCAACCATGTGATGATTGGCTCTGATTCCATGCAGCTATCATCTTCTAGCTTTTCCTTCTGCTTCTCCTCGTCTTTGCTGGATGTATCATTCCCTTTTATTTTCTGAGTAGACTTGGACACTGAACAGCGCCTTTTCCGTTGGTTTTTTCCAGGAACTTCAGTAGGGAACAACAAAATTTTGAATCTTTCACCCTGTAAGTTGATCCACTCCTCATCACGATCATCATATTTTACATGATGCAGGTTCTTGTCTCCATCGAAACCATCCACAAACCCATGATACCAACTCTCATCCAAAGGCCAGAAAACTTTAATCTTTTTGTTTAACAACCAGTGTGAATCCACATCTGAAAACAAAATTTCATAAAAGTGGCGTCTTTTCCGAACTTTACCCTTCCCATCATCATTCTGTCTCCTTGGTCGCAACATTCTATCATCAGTGTCATCTGAGGCACATTTCGAACTATGCAAGTCGGACGGAGGATTTACTGAATTCTTAACCGAAGATAATGGATGCAATCTACTGGCAGATGGTGAACCAGGGGTAACAGAATTTGAAGGAAACTGGGTGCATTTTGGATCAAACCGTGAAGACAGCATTCTTGCTGCATTAGCTTCAAGATTCTCCTCATCATCTTCTCGTGATACCTTGGAAATTCTACCAGAAGTATCACCTGAAGACTTGTCCTCTTTTCCCAAGCGCTTGTTTGATGCTGAGGACTTCCTTTTTCTGCTATTACTATTTCTTTGTTTAACAACAACCAGCTGATCATCTTTCACTGGAGACTGATTAGAATGCCCATTTTCCAACTGCAACTGAGCTGCTGAATTCGATTCTTTGATTTCTTTGTCAGATTCCTTCTCTTCAACTTTAGAGAGTTGATCCTGAGCACTAGATTCTTCAGCAGTTACCTTAGGGATATTATCAACCAGCGCCTCCTCCTGACTATCAGATTCCCCTGCAGACTTCTGTACTAGGCCATTCTCAAACCTACTCCTCCCAACAAAATCTCTCCTGCGTCTAGGAACATAAATCGTACTACCTGCCAAGCCAACTGAAATCCCTTGAAGCCCATTACTGTCACACAATTTCTCATCCAAACCCACCTCCTTGGAGTCCTCCAAATTGTGCAATCTGGTGGTGCCATTGCATGCCTTATCCAGAATTTTCTCGTTCTCGCTACCGAGTTTCTTAAAGCTACTTAAAGAAACAACTTTCCTGCTCTTCTTGTCCTGCTTCAACTGATCACCATCATCCCCAGACCTAATTTTTCTTTTAAAGCTCTTATTCACTGAATCCTTGGAAATGCTAGACTTATAGAGCGTCTTAAGATCTAAAGACCTTGATTTCTTCGAAATTCCCACTCCATTAGAGTTAACTAGTCTATTTTCCATGAAAGCCACCTCGAACCAAAACCCAGAATCAAAAGCCAGCAGGTCTCAAATTCCATCATATACGCAAGGAAACATTTTTCAGATCTGTGACACCAAAACCAAACCCAGAATCACAAAAGTATGATAAAAGAAGAACACAAAAAAAAAAAAAACAGATCAAATCCCACTCCAGGAAAAACTTATGCATTGAAATCCAAGAAAACAAATTTCAACAATCAAGAACTGCAGAAAAACAAAAAGGAGAGAAATTTGCATGCCTACCTGCATCACTTTATCAGACGAAATCGAGTCTCTTAAGGACCTTTATATTCGCCACAATCCCAAAATCAAAATTAGGGTTTCGGTAAATCGGACTGCGAATCGGATCCCTAAATCAAACAATCGAAAACTCCCAAAATTATTCGTTCAATTTAGCCGAAAATTAAAAAAGCAAAATTTGCTTCCTTTTTTTTTCTTTTTTAACCGGGAGAAACGGGAGAGCTAGGGTTTCGTCTGGTTTCGCGAGAGTAAGGTTTTTTCAGTTATAAAGAAAACATTTTCCAAATAAACATCGTATCACGGATATCGTCCGATCGAGACGCGTTACTAAATCTACGGTCCAGATTTAGTTTCGAAATTTTAATTCTGCAACAGAAAAAGATATAATGGACGTTTGGGATTCTCAGCTGCGAAATATTTGTTTGGACGGTCAGGATTAAAAGATTTCTTCAGAGAGAAAATAATTTATTGTTGTCACGTGTGTTGCTAACCTACCGCAATCTTGTGTGTGTCCACCTAGCCAACAATTGTTAGAGACATCATTCAACTTAACAACTATTATTACTAGGGGATATAGTTTCACACATTTAAATATTTTTGAATAGTTCTCTTTTTAAATTACTTTTTCTAATATTATTACTATATTTTTTGGTTACTTTCTTCTAACATCTAATTTTCATTCATCCATTAGCTTAACAATTTGTCAATATTTACTAGAAGAAATATTATTTTTTTAAAAACTAAAAAATTAAACAAATTTAAATACCAAAAACGTGTAAAAATACATTAGTTTCCTATGTGTTCATGTATCCGTTTTATATTAAAATATCGTTATCTGATGTATTAATGAATAGCGTTTAATTCATTATCAAAATTTTGATTCCTTATAAGGTTTTTATTTTAGATAATTTGGATGAAGTTAAGTTTTAAAAATAATTTAAAGAAAGAGATTTGGTTTCCTTTTAAAATATGAATTAAATTCACTGTAAACGTTTCATAAAATTTTAACATAACTAGTATCTATCAAAAAAAAAACCATAAAAGTTCAGAAATTTCGTTTTCTCGATTTAAAAAACCGTTAAAAATTCACAAAATATTTTGGCGGGTAGATTATATTGCAACTTAAATTAGCTTTTAATTTTAATCATATAAATACAGAAAAGATAAGAAAAACCAATCTTGTGTTAAAAAATCAAATCAAGGTTTAATTAGACAGTCTAATCCAATGTTCGGTTCAATTTTCTAATCAAAATTTCGGTTTAATCCAGAGGAGAGAAGATAACATCCCTAATACAGAGAGATCCCCTTCGCTTGTGCTACCTCCTTGTCGTGTAGCCCAGTAGCTCTAATCGCTACGATTGCTACACACCACATCCCTTAAGAAACCCTAATTATCTCTCTCGCATTCGATAAGAAATCGCTTTCCCGAAGCTTCGAACATTCTCTTGTTTCTCCTTGTCTCAATTTCATACGCTTCTTTTTTAATCACCAGTATATATTTTTGTCGTTTCTGTGTCTGGAACCCTAGTTATTATCATCCATCGCTTTCTTCAATCGCCGTCCATCAGAGTTTTCAAGGAATTTGCTTTAAAGATCAATCTTTTCGTAAGAAAACAGCGACAATTGATCAACTTTTTCTTGTCCCTTCTTTCATTACCTTAACTTATTCGAGATTGATTTATCTTCCGTTTTCGTTCCATTCCTCGAGACTTCCAGCTGAAATTGTGAAATTTCGTTTCTGGGTTTTATCAGAAAACACTTTGTGACTTATTGTGTGGTGATCGAGGAAAAAAAAGATGGTTGGTGGTGGAAACAGGAGAGATGAGGGATCGATGCCGATTCAAAACACCAACTTGTTTGCTGCTTTGGATACTTTGAGGAAGAAGAAGAAGTCAGATAAGGCTGGTAAGAGCAAAGCTTCCTCTAAGGGACAAGTTTCACAAAAGGAGCCTGAGCCACAGGTCTTCTGGGCACCTACGCCTCTCAAAGCAAAGGCTTGGGCCGATATCGATAGCGATGATGAAGATGACGACTATTACGCTACCTCTGCTCCACCTCAGTCCGTGTGGAGCACTTCTGAAGCCTCCCATTCCGATGCTAAAGACGTTCACGCTGAGGTCACAAGTCCAAATCTTTCATATATGCTTTTTCACTAATGATTTTGGGTTCATCATCGTAGTTTTATGCATTTCACAACTGGAAAATTGTTAAACTGGAACTGGTTTAATATGTCTCTTGTTATAAACCTCTTTAGATTTCATATGCTTTTAGGAATCGAATGATTTGGCTTTTTTCTGCTGTTGATATCTCGCTTAAGCTTTGTACCTGTTGAATTAATGTGTTCCATGGTTGTTGTATTGTCTGAAAGTGATATGAATGATACTGTGAAGTAAGCTGCTTTGTCTCCTGGAGGTTATATCATATATCTAATTGTATACCTTTGTTGTTATGGAGATTTTTCTAAGCAATATAAGTTTGCACTCTGGTTTCTCTAAACCGTGGTTGTGTGCCTATCTGTTCATTGTTTCTCATAGAGATGCTTGTGATTTCAATGTCGCAGGAAAGTGAAAGCGAAGAAGACACTCTTGATGAAGGAGATGATGATGATGTGGAGGAAGAGCATGAACAGGGAACCGAGATACAGGTTCATCCAGAAGCAGAGCCCGGGGTGAATAAGGCTCCTGAAGTTCCAGCACCTCCTAAGGAGGCAGAGAGGCAACTTTCCAAGAAAGAGAGGAAAAAGAAGGAACTTGCTGAGCTTGAGGCTTTGTTAGCAGATTTTGGAGTTGCACCCAAAGATGAGAATGGTCATAAAGACTCTCAAGGTATTACACTATTTCACTTTTTTGTATTCGATTGTTGGTATCAATTCTACTCTACTACATTCACTGGTTGGCAATTTATCTGTTGACACCTTTCTACATAGACGTATCACTTGCTGAGAACCATGTTATAGCTAATAATACTGATCGACGTTTCCTCTGCAAATACCTAACAGATAAGGAAGAGAAGAAAGAAGTGAATGGTGAGGGAGAGAAGAAGGAGAACACAACCGGAGAATCAAAGGCCTCAAAGAAGAAGAAAAAGAAGGATAAACAGAAAGAGCTAAAAGAATCTCAGAGTGAAGTGAAGAGCAACTCAGATGCTGCAAGTGAGTCCGCTGAGCAGGAGGAGTCTTCTTCTTCCATTGATGTCAAAGAACGTCTAAAGAAGATTGCATCAATGAAGAAGAAGAAGTCAAGCAAAGAGGTGGATGGTGCCTCAACAGCCGCCGCAAAGGAAGCAGCTGCGAGGAAGGCAAAGTTGGCCGCCGCGAAGAAAAAAGAAAAGAAAAACTACAATCAGCAACCTGTGAGGTGAAGAAATCAATCCACCCACCGTTGTGATATGAACATAGGTTTTGTTCATATGAGACTTACTTGCCTTGAACAAATCTTTTGATGGGGAATGTGGTTGGGTCGTGTTTTAGAGTTATGATGACTTGGATCTTTTAATCATATTCACAATGGAACATAACAAGAAGAAAAACTTTCTGTTTGAATTTTCTTTTTACATACATTCTTTGTTCATCATGGTTATCCTTTTTTTTTATCTCCCATCACCATTTCTAGTGCTTGATCTTTAAATATTGTTGCTGGATAAAGTTAATCTATGAGTCTGAATCGACAAAATGAATTCAGTTCTCTTCAGAAATTATGTTTGATGAAAAAATAGCTGATTTTGTATCAAAATTGGATCGATTTATTTTTAATCATATGTTTATCAAAATAATTAGATCATCCTAAATATATTGTTTGAGAAACCTAATAAATAATTAATTATTCCTCTTGCGGGTTTATTCGACGGAAAAAGAGGTTGGGTATTTATTTACTATCTTAAGACAATTCGCCGTGTTGCTGCTCTCTACGACGGAGAAGTAGAAATGTTGAGAAGAGTGATCGGAAATGTCGCCGTCCGGCGTCAGTTATATCGAGCGCTATCCAGTAAATCCGGTGGAAGTGGAAAGAGCGGCAACGTTTCAGCTGCAGTGGATTCGATGCTTCTGCGTTCCCTTAAGGAACACTACCTCGAAGTTTCTAAGATGACCCCTCCTCCGGTTCGTTCCTCCTCTCCTCTCTCTCTCTCTCTCTGTTTCTCTCTACGTTTCGTCTGAAATACTGTTACTTAAACCCTAGCTGCTGCTTCCTTCACTTAGGGTTTTTGGTGGGATTTAGTGGATTTTGATTGATTTTGCAGAAAGTGAGTCCTCCTTCACCATTTGAGATTGTGAAAGGGTCGCTTGAAGGAACTACTAGTGCTGTTTTGAAGAAATCTGTTGGAAATGAAGAGATCAGTCTTTTCGTTATGCGCTTGGCTCACGGAGGTGATGAAGAAGACGATGGTGGGATCAACCAATTGTTCCTTCATGTGGCTGTATCAAAGCCAAATCAGGCTGATTCTTTGCATTTCCTTTGTGGTCTTTACCCTGATGCTTTGGGTATTCATTCTGTTTCCATGAGGCCTAAACTCGAGGATTTGGAGATGTCTGATGATCCTACTCAATACACTGGCCCTTCTTTTGAGTGAGTTTCTTTCCCTCTTTTTAACTGAGTTTCTCTCTTTAAATTGAGAGACTTGCTCAGTATTTGCTTGCCTTTCTAGTGATTCAGTTGATGGTTGACAACTTAAAGATTGTCAGTGGCCATTTTAGGTGATTCATTTCTGTTTTAAGCTGTCTCTTCTTGCTACACTCAGAACTGTCAAACTAAGAATAGGCCAACTAAATTTATCGACGTTTTTTAAATAGTCTCTGACTTTCTGAAGGATGATTTCAAGTAACAACTTTACGCTTTTGTACCATATTTTTGGTCATTTTCTGGTTGACTTAGAGAAATGTGATTGTAGAATAGAATGGGGGTACTGGTAGATGTGTTCTAGTCTTCTAGGTATTTTGATTATTCAATTTCAGTTACTGCTCTTTCTCATGTGACATATTTGCAGTGCAACTCACTATTGACACACAATCAGTTTGTTTCTAATATGGATTAGTCTTTGGCCTGTTCTTTACATTCGTCTTTCAATTTAGAACAGAAGAGAGTTTGTGCATTCAATTCAGCATTCTGTTTTCTTTGTTCTAAATATAATGCGTAAGCACAATTGATAGAAAATTTACTCTATTGGCAAGTGAGTGTTTCTATTTGTTTGAACAGAGAGCTCGATGAGAAGATGAGGGACGTATTCCATGGCTTCCTAGAGGAGCGAGGTGTGAACGAGAGTCTCTTCCCGTTTCTCCAGGCATGGCTCTACGTAAAAGATCACCGTAACCTACTGCGATGGTTCAAATCAGTTGGCACGTTTGTTCATGAAAACCCATCTGCAGAAAACACCGCTTAGAAGGACGTATCTTTTCGGTCTCTGGATCGGTTTGTGCGGTTAATTGTTTTAGTTGGGCACTATGCCGCTTTTAAATGTTTCAGGAACTGAATCACTTTTGCTTTCAAACCATTTTAGAAACATATGCATCCGAGATTAATGTTAAGAAAAAGTTCACTCTAGTCGACTGTGAGCTCTCTGTACTAAAGACAAAACTATGATGATCGTTATGCTTCTTGTTCCAAGTTACCGGTTCTCACACTGATTTTAGAGAACCAACGAAGTCTATGTCTTGTAATTCAAAAATTAATAAACTAAAATCGTGGAAGTTATAGTTATCTCCTCCAGTATAAAGGTATAAAGCTTTTATTTGGTTTATTCCAACTTTACGCCGAGCGTCCACGAATAAGGCGATTTAGCTGCACAAGCTTTTCAGGGTCTCGAAAGATTCCTGGCTCTCGTATAGAGGTGGTACTCGTGACAAATTCAGTGAATAAATAAAAACAAGTATTTGGAACACGCTCAAACTCAACACCGATTATCGAACTCTTCTACACTCAGAGGTTCCAATTCACAACGGCAAAAAGCATTTACAGAACAGGATCTTCGCTGTGTCTTTCTTCACCTTCTTAGCAATGAGAAGCAAACCCCATATTGTGTAGGAACATCGCAAAACAGCTTTCTTGTGCCGTTTTCTCAAACATAGAGCAAATCTCGGAGATCTAGATAACATTATTGGCCAAACCATTATCAACTCTTAGTTCACTCCGTTGTTGTTGTTGATGGTTATCGTTTTCCCCAGAAGAGAGCGAGCTCAAGATCCCTTGGCTTGTCAAATCAGAGTTCTTCTCCCCAACTTCGCTCTTGCAAAGAGGGCAAGAGGCATTGATCTTCAGCCATTTGTCAACGCACTCTTTGTGGAAGAAATGTGAGCATGGAAGCTCTCTCAACTCCTCATTATTTGCATATTTAGCTAAGCAAATGCAACAGACCTGCAAACATTTTTTATATTCAGAGACTTGATTGTATGTGTGTGTTACTGTGTGTAAAGTCAAAGTGTAAGAAAACTCACAGCATCCTCTCCTGAAATAGCACGTTCATTATCTGTTCCAGCCGCCACGACTCCACCTTCGCTAGTACTTGAACCATTGTCATCGCCACTACTTCTGCTTTTCTTCAACTTAAACTTATGAGTCGGCAATGCATTAATCGACTCAGGTGTGGCACCTCGAGGTTGAGTTAAATCTTCTCTATATCCGAGAATTGAGATTATGCAGGGCAAGCAGCAACATATTGTTGTACAGAGGATGAAGGGCATCGCGTAGCCAATACAGCTAAAGGTAAGAAACACTAAACATAACCTAGAACATACAAGAGAACAAAAATATGGGTCAGTCTTGGAAATTGCAGCCTGAAGTTTGAGTCTAATTTCAGTATATCTAAAAGAATATCACCTGTACAAGTTAGGAGCCTCAGCAGCAGATGAATGGCCTCCAAATATCCATACATTACCTACCACAAACCACACCGCAAAGAAGCAATCCAGAGCCATTTTGAAGTATTCCACGATAACTTTAAGTCTGGAAGCCAAAATCAAAGACTCAAATCAGTGACTCAGAGTAGCAATCATTAATATAACAGACTGACTCAATTAGGTTACAGGTATTGTCAACAAAAAGAAAGAGTTTTGAAATCAAAACTTCCAGTTGAAACAGATCATCTAAGAACATGTGAATATACCTGGCAGCACTTATGAAGCCAGGATATCTACTACCACGAGAAGAGGTGGTATTGGTCTGTCGACCATCTCCTTCAGATGTCCTGGAAATCGAGAAGGCGAATGGTCCAGCTGCAACATTGAGATTAGGACGATGCTGGCCAGAATCCTGTTCAGAAGCCTGATTCGAATGATAATATCTCCAGTACAAAAGCGGGAGTGTGGCAACGCATCCACACGCATAACCCACGATCCAAGTGAACAAGGGTGCACGAGGATGCTCATGTTTTGACAAAGACAAAACGACAATGGCTGCAATGATCTGACCAACGGTGAGGAATAGCTCAATAGAAATCCATAAGCCAGAATTCAAAGGACTTCTTCTACGACGGACACTTCTAGGATTTGATCGCATAGAAGAAGAAGAAGAAGCTGTAGCTGTAGCTGGCTGAGGAGCAGCCATGGGAGGAACAGTTGAAGGTCTATCTTCCTCATGTTGTAAAGGTTCCAAAACATTTGAGATTCTATCATGAGAAGATGATGATGATGCAATGGCGGCATTTCTTGGAATGTCAATGATGATGTGCTCATTTCGGCTAAGATTATTCTCTGGTGATCTTTCCATGAATCTAGAAAAAGTATCAGCTTGATTTGTAATACGATGTTGTTGTTTCAGAAGAGAAACACCCATCTAGGTTTTGTCCACTTTGCGCATACCACACCATGGGGCTTAACCTAAGGTCCTGCAATTACATAGAGAAAGCTTAAACCCTCAAATGACCTAAAACCAACCACGAAAAATCATCAATAGATGTCTGTTTCAGGATTTGACTCATCAAAATCGATCAATCCAAGCTCAACTATACATAATTTGAAGGAAAGAAACTCACCCAGATTATCCCATAAAATTAGGGCAAAAACAAAGAAAAATCGTACATGGGCAAAGATTTATCAGGACAAAAGAAGTACCCCCAGAAAAGAAAAAAACGTCATCGACAGATTTAGCAAAACCTAATTGGCACCTGGAATTAATTTCATAAGAAAATCAAGCAATTGGGGGAACAAACCTTCTTCAATGGATGAATTTTTTTCTTTTCTCGCTGGTCGCAAGGTAAAATTGAAGAGCGCCGCAGAAGAAGAAGAAGAAAACCCAGAAACCAAGACAACGAATCCAATTAAGAAGAGTCAACTTTTACAGCAATCGAAATCCTTTGTTATTGATCGTGTAGCTTCTTCAAAATGTAATTTGCGATTATTTTAGATTTTTATTTTTTTCTGTGTTCACCGATCAACCAGGGAGATTAAAAAATATATATTTATCTGGATATAAAATTCGGAGCCAAACAGCAATCACACAAAAGAAAAAATTATATATAAATATATACCAAGAAAAATTCAGATAGTGATGCTTCTTTGGCTCCTTCCTCTTTTTTTTTTGTCTTTCACAACAAGAAAACAGTAAAAATAAAAATAAGAAGATGTTGCTTTTTGACTTTACCCCTGTTTTATGGGGCGGCGCGTAATCTAATTACATCATGTGAAAGTTGTCTCTTCGGAGACATTCGATAAATAAAAAGTGGTCTGAAAGTTGTCAAAGAAACGGTTCGAATACTTGAACCAAGTTCTATAATTCGCGTTATTTGATTTTATTTCTTATCAATAGAAATTTCACTATCATGGCACCACCATATTCAAGAACTCAAGAAAATACATATAGATAGACGAACGTATCTCCATTAATACGAGACAACATACAGAGATGTGTTATGTACACATAAATATATGAAACGAATAAGGCTTTACATTGATTCACTGGTTGATTCACTTCTTCCACTGTGGAATCCGCTGCACGACAACCTAAAACCAAAGCCGACTGATCTCAATGAGAAAGGTCTTAAAAATAAACTAAAAAAGAAAACACTCTTAAGATCGCAAACATGATAAAGATTGATACCAAAAATTGGGCACATTCGTGTTTGTAATGGCATATGAATAAATTGGTGTATGAAAGTAGGTACCTTTCCTGAGTTTTCTTTGTTCCCTACTATTGTTTGACATGCGAGTCTCCAAGATTCCGGCTTCTGCACAATAGTAAGAAAGTCTTAAGAATTAAACAGGCAAGGTTCTTATATTTATCTGAATTTGCATATCTAAGAAAAGTTACTTAGTCACCATATCAAACAAAAAAACCATATATTCACATTTAACCGGAAACAATGCTCAACATTTCATTCATCTTGTTATTGCACACACCCAATCCAAACTTTAGCAATGAGAAACTTGTGAATCAAAGAATAATATAGAGAGGAGTGATCAAAAAACTAGCCTTTTTCAGGTACCGGTTTTCGGTATCTGTTCTCTCGTTCAGAAGATCTCTACCATCTAGTATCTGCACACAAGAAGACCAAATGTGTATTTTTTTTGCTTTGAGTTATTGCTCATCATAAGAAGACCAAACACAAATCTCTTTTCCTCCATTGATATCTATGAATGCTAGGATAATCATAGACCACAAATCCATAATCATAATCTAAAGAATATGATAAGAAGTCACTTGCCTCCACAATGCAAGTTCCACAACTTCCTCCTCCTCCACAGTTCATCACTTTCCCCTAATCATCACAAATTGAACAATCTCCAAAGTTTACATCAGCCTTTAACAAAAATTGTACCCTAATACACAATTCGATTGGCTACTAAATTGTTCCAGAAATTAGTTCATATAAATTTTAAACATCAAATCAAAACCTCAATGGATTAAGATTGAGCAAATTTGAAGTTGAATTTCGTAAATAAAGAGAGACAAATCAACAAAACTTACGTAAGCAGCGTAGAGTTCGATTTTGTTATCCTGCATAATGCTTCTCAGAAGCTTATCTCCACTCACAGCCTTTGCTTTATCCACCGGATACGACCCGTCGCTCCCCGGCTTCGGCTACAAAGAAAAAAAACGAAAAGTCTCTTTTGAGTTTTGAAACGAATTGCATCAGAACACAACGAGAAAATCGCACCGATAGTTACACCGAAGAACTCGAGCTCTATCTCAGGAGGCTTCGCTGCAGAAATCCCCTGCGGAGATGATACTTGAGAAGAAGAAGAAGAAGACGAGCTGTTACATGAGATAACGCGAACCCTTCCACCTCCGGAAACTTTTCGATGCTGCTGAATTTGAGCATTGGAGAAGGTGAAGCCGAGGTTGAAACCTAGCGAAGCCATTTCTTCCGGCTAATTCTTCCCGTGTTAGCTTCTGATCTCCGGCGCCTTTAGTACGGAGATTCCAGAAGCTAAAGAAGCTAAACCACGAATTTAATTATGTGGACTTCATCTTCTACATGTTATAAGGCTTTTTGTCTCTGTTGTTAACCCATTAACAAGCCCATTTAACTTTTCTTTTCAATTTATATCTTTAGACTTTTCTTTAAAGGGCTATATCTTAATTCTTAAACATTAAGGTGGTGTTATTGGTTAATGGATTTTAATAGAGTCTAACTCTAACCCAAATCTAATGTTATTGGTTAGTGGATCTTAACTTCTTTATTCAAATCAAATGTTATTGGTTCTTATATTTATAATATCTTCGTTAAAAGAGTTTTGGATTATTTCATTTTCTGATTATAAACAATGCTAATTTTTATCCATGATGGATTGAGCAATTTTAAAGACATATTTATGTAACTAAAAGTTATTTTATAGTATTTCTGATGATTCATGTGCTGAGGGAAGCCTCTATTGTGTAGTATGCATTGTTTTTGGGTCCTGAAGTTTAAAAATGTCTAGAAAAACGAATTTAGATTTTATGTGAGATACCAAGAAAATTAAGTGGGGAACAAGAAATTAAAGCAGATCAACAGTGAGATGACCAATTTTGCAAACAATCATATACTTTGTTCGCCACCTTACTGCCATTTAATCAACATCAACTATCATCATCGTTTATCGAATTATTTTCAACTAGAATCCAGTAAATAGTTTAACTTGTCATGTGGCAAGTTTGACAGTTATTATTCATCAAGTAACAAATCGATTTCTTAGTTCAACTAGTTGAACAAAAGCATTACTACGGGAAACAAAAAAAACTTATGTGAGCCGTCTTAAATATATTGAACCGATGATTGTTTAAGAAAATTCACTCATATACGTTTTACGTTAATGAATAAACGAGTTATTTTGCACAATTCTAACATTTTCAGTGACACTGGCAAAATATTTTTATTTTATTTTTATTTCTAACTCTTTGATCGTCCTACCCTCAAGTTGTTTTTTAAGGGGAGTTTAGTAATAATATAGTTTCCCTTAATTTTTTTTCTTTTTCTTTTTCCTTTTTGGTAATAGTTCGATTAATAAACCCTAGAAATTTGCAAAAAGTGGAATTGATCAAAGGAGCATTTTGAAGTGGGAAAATCGTCATGAGTAGTTGTAAAATCGATTACATTCAGAAACAGCTTAATGTCCTACTCAGATTAGTATAGAAATTCGTCATGAGTGGTTGGTTCATGAGTTCTCTCTCCTACTCATATTAGAGTGAGAAATCAAACACTGACAATTCAATATTCAACAACTCTCATCTCAAAACCATATATATATATGGAAATTACTATTAAGATTACTATTTAGGCAGTCAAATGAGCCTAGATTGCTATATAAGTTTGGTTAAATTTATTTTACCGATGTTGAAGTTTTTTTATGTTTGACTCTCTTTGATTCTCTTACATTTTAAATTTTATGCTAAAACTTGTTCATGTGGTTTTATTTTTGTAGGTTATAATTACCTAACCATTTATTTAGGTAAAGATTATATGCATTTAGTTTTGCAATTAAAATTTTGAAACAGATTATTTGGCGGGTAATTTTGAAATTCATTGTATAAATATTAATTAACTAATCGATCTAACTACCACATATGAGTAAAATATTTAACATTTGTACTACAACAAATTATGTTCTTGACAACTTTACCAACTAACTTACGAACTAATTATTTTTGGAAGCGGATAGGTTAGTAGTGTGTTGGTTATAGATTAGATACACAAACTCACTTTCTCAAAACAATGTGTATCTTTAACATTATGAATCTATGATAACCTTAATGTAGTCTATGATGCCATGATTTTACAATCTTACTTATGTTTATTTTGGCTGAACTTTTAATCATAGTTTATTTGAAAGATGTGATTATTATAATATTAAAGGGAATTAAAATCATGTAAGAGAAACCCAATAAAGTAGCTTGAAGAACAAAAAGACAACCTTTATTTTACACTTACCCAGAAAGACAAAAACAAAAAACTGATAATATATCTCTCTCTCTCTCTCTCGTTGAGTGTGTCCATGAAATGATACTCTGTCAGGGAGAGAGTCTGTAACGGAGGATGTGGTGGCGAAGTGGCCACACTGACACACTGGTTTGATGATGGTGAACCACTACAATGGCCAGCGACCCACTGATAATGATTCTCGTCTCCGACAGACAGAACAAGATAAGCTCTTGTTCCATGACTTTTTAGGCTCAAAGACTCCAACTTTAGCCTCCACTCCCATGCCTGACCATAGGCTACCAGCGGATAAAGCGGCGATGACTCCCTCTACGGCTTCTGCTTCCACCGCCGGTGGACGCGGCGGTCTCTCCTCAACCTCCGATCTCGGTTCTGCTCTGTCTCTAACTCTCTTTGATGTTTTTTTTTCTTGTTGAAGTGTGCTTATAGTGATTTTGAGCTGACACTCCTCTGTACATTTAGGGTTTCTATCTACAGAAAGTTTAAATTTTGGTAAATAGATTCGATTTAAAGTTCTGTTCTTTCTTTTTCCTAGTCTGGTTTAACGATCGAGCTTTGATTCACCATGATTTGAAAGTGTAAAAGATGATGTGAGTTAGTTTCAACTTTTTAGTCAATTCATTTATGATTAGATCTCCTAAGTAGAAAATGGAACACATCTTTGGGTTGAAGTTGAACAAAATGTGAATGCACATTGTCTTGTTTCATTTCTTGCCTTATTGCTTTTTTAGTTTGGAAATTTTATAAACATGATCCATGGATTGTGTGTGAGCATGTGGTTGATTGAACACTAGTAGTGTTAAGGACTCTCTCTCTCTCTCTATCTATCTCTCTGTCCAAACATAATGCCTCTGGTGGATGATTAGTTGGGACAGTGAGAGTGAATTTGACTGATGAGTTTGGTGGGTCATAGCCATTTGAGGTTGTGATGCTTTTTATATGAATTGGCCTTCTTTATTACCTCTCATTTTTTTCTCTCTCTCTCTCCTTGAGTTGCCTCAACAATCTTTAAGTTACTTATCCATATTTTATCATTGTTTAGTCGAAAGACACAGCGGCGGAGGGAATCATCTAGATGGGATACAAGTGTTTGGACCAAGAAGTGATGCTTCTGGCTCAATCATGAGCAATCGATTTTCAGGAAACAAGAGAAGTAACTCGGATTCACACTTCACGACTCAAGAGCACCCAGAGACTCTGCAATGGTCCAAGGTAAAACAAAAAAAAACAGAACCTATACAACCCATGTTCACAGCTACATAGAACTCAGTTTCTGTAATCTGTCATTGTCATAACATAGTTGCTTAGAAACGGGCCTGGAAGCTTCTCCATGAATGTGAATCCTTTGGCAAACCAGCCTCCACGCGGAGGGGGACAGATCAGTCATTTGCTTCATCAGCTGTCTACAAGCAGATTTAAAGATGAAAACGTAGGCCTATCAGTTATTGCTCAGACAGCTGCTGATGAAGGTTCACGAACAGGGATGAAAGGTCCCGGTATCTTGAGTTCTTTTACAATGCCAAGCTCGAGCAAGTTCGAAAGTTTTGCCCCTTCAAGGTCAGTTAACTGCTAGTGTTTTATGTTTTGTCTCTGGTCTTTTGATATTGTCTTTGAGTCATTTCAATACACTCTGTATTTGCAGTACCGGAAATCGGAAAGACTTGGCGTCTAGTACTAAGCAAATGACCATCTTCTATGGCGGTCAAGCTCATGTCTTTGATGATGTTCACCCAAACAAGGTGGATTCTCCCTAACACTTACACACTTGATATTCAATTTATTTGACCATATTTTGATATCTAAGAAGGTAGAAAAATTGGGAAGTTCATCACATGAATGTTATTTTTTTGCAGGCGGATGTGATAATGGCCTTGGCAGGATCAAGCGGGGGCTCATGGTCTACGGGTTTGTCTCATAAACCGAAGTCAAAGAACAACACAAGTGACAGTCCATACAAACTAGGCCAAATGTATGAAGGAGGCAGCTCTAGAGAAACACCGCAAATGCCCCCGGAGTTTCGTGCAAGGCCGAGTCATCAACCTACCTCCAGTGCCTGTCACCGGATCTTTACACAACCAGGTGACTTCTTTATAAAGAAAATCAGATTTTAGCAGAAATTTTGGTTAGCTTCTTACAAATACACAGTGGAGTAGAGTAATCAGGTCTTATTTTGCATTGTGATATAACAAAATGAGGATACAAAAATAAAGAGTTATCAACTGCTCTGGGTTTTATCAGCTTTGAATCTTTTTGCTCAGGCCATAAAACCATGTGCATATATGATTTGCAGGTAGAGAACATCAAGGAAGCATCATCTCAAGGGGACGAGATATCAGAGATCCGGTTCACATATCAGATCCTGAAAAAGAAGCCACATGATTTAAGTCTGAATATGAGAGACGATGAGTGTGGCTCTGCTTCTAAGTTTTTTTTTTTTTTTTTTTTTTTTTCAGTTTTTTGTTTTGTGGTCAGCTTCTTCTAAGTTGTTATTTGTTTAATAGCTTTGTACAATGCTCTGTACCTTTCTAGGTTTGTATTCAAACTTATTCTCCTCAATGATTTAGAGTATAATAGTTTCTCATAGCTTATAACCATTTGGTCAACCAAACCTGCTGTTTCTAGGCCTATAAATTTTTGTATATTTCCGTGCAAGGCTGAGCATATGGATAAAGCATATCACAAGAGAATCATGTCTAAATCAACTCTGGCTCTACACTGGTTAGCTGAAACTCGAAAGGAGAGCCACTTCATATCACCCTATTCAGCCCCTTCTTTCGAGTCAGAGGTGTTTACAGCAGATATATGACTCCTCAGCTTCTCATTCTTAGTACATTCCTCCTGCCATTGAGTAATTTAGCACTACATAAGTCATCAAGTAGATGACTCTCGGGTTTTCCAGTATAAATACTTATTTCCTCTTTTGCGCTAACCTGGAATGCTCTTAGTACAGTGTAGCATTTTCTTTGCTCTGCAGCTGCAGCTACATACTTTTCTTTTGAAGCATCACGGAGCCTCTGCTCTTCTTGAAGCCCAAGTTGTACTTTTCCTATCTTCTGCACTTTAAACATATTGTTATGACAAATCGTACAGCTATAGTTATGTAAGATGGGCTAGTTCATGCTGTATGCCTCAAATACCTGAATGAATATAACTCAGATTACCTGTTGGATTCCTTGCATCACTCCTTCCATTGAATCAATAAGCTTCACACGGCCAGCAGGTGTACCAATCACGTCTTGAAACTACATTCAAGTCAACAGTTAATCAAGAATTATGGTGAAACTTTGACTCGCCAAGAGATACACTAAAAGGGGAAAGCAGAAACGTAAATAAACTTAGTAATGAACCTAAGCTTTTCTCAACGATAAGTACATGACAACTAAAGGTATAACGTTGAGAGCAGTACAAAGTAGATGATGCTAGTTACAGAAAATCTTTTACCTGTGAACCAATTGAATTCAGTAATGATGTCTCCTTTAGCATCAAGTCTTTTATTTCTAAAAGAGCATTGTATGTTGCATAGAGCTTCCTGGTTTGTTGAAGTTTCTCCTGTTTTTAGTCAGAAATCAAACAAATGTTCGTCAAGCTAGTAAGTTCATTTTCAACTAACAAAACAAACCTGCAAAGCAACGGGGCAGATATTAATTTAACTATGCGAACCTGAATACAGACATTCAGCTCTGAGAATCTTCTTTCATACCTGCAGGGAATAAAATGCTGGAATTTAGCGTGAAACAAATACAGCAAGTGGGAAATTAGCCATAGTAAAACTGGATTCCTAAAAGCTGGAGGCAACGCAACTTGAGTCTGACATGATGATTCCATATATTTACAACATAATTGCTCATCAAACCAATTCATTGTTGAGATGGAAGAGTTTCAACGCGAAGGAGTACACAAATACATAGTGCCAAATCCAGAGCATTATTATCTTAAAAGTAAGGAAGTGGGGGAAGAAGAGCATACTGGAGGAGTTCAGATTGGCATGGCACATCATCAATTTGTCGCTTCAGGGACACTATTTCTCTTAGCGTTGCTGCAAGCTCCTACAGTAAAACGAAGGGAAATGGAACAATAACCTTCTTAGAAAGACATTGGAAAAACCTGAATCTCAACTACATGATGCTCAAGATGCATAGAGGGTGTCTGTACCATAGAAAGAGTACCTTCTTTGCTGAAGTGAGATTATCTAAAGATTCAACCAACAAACCATCTAAATCTTCCTCTTGAATCTCATCATCATGCCCCTTAGCAACTCTCTCCTCCAAATCATGAACTGCATCTTCTAAAGCAGAACGCTTAGCATTGCATTTAGACAGGACTTTAGATTCCTCCTTTTCTATTTCCTGAAAAATCCTACAACTCTTAAAGTTACACCACATAGGGCCACTCACAATCTAGTGATCTCAACACTAATTTACCTTGAGTGATCTCAGAAGCGGCATCAACTCCTGGACTGAAACATCAACACCTTCCTTGCTTATCCTTTCTCGCAACTGCTGAAGCTTATCCTTAACATGACATTTTCTCTGATTCTAAGTTACATATAGAAAACAAAAGTTAAAACCTTTGCACTGTTTGATCAAAAACACGATAAGATAGACTAAGAAACAAGAGACTTTTTATTTGCTGAGAAAGGAAGAAACAAGAGCACCTGTTCGTTCACTTTCACACTCAAATCTCTTATAGATGCCTTCAGATTTGTCACCATTTCCTCAGGCTGCTCTGACGTACATTTCTCCTTCACTGAAAGACAAACCTGAGGTTCCAGAGTATATCAGAACTTGATCAATTTAACATTCGAACAGTTCATTCTTCGATTGAGGAATCAAAATTAAGCAAAAAAGTTCGATGAAGTTCCTGCTCAAGTGCTAACCTTGTCGCTGTTATCGTCTTTCTCCATCACTCAATTACAACGATCTCAGATACGACGGAGCCATCGCGATTGAAAGAAGACGACTTTCACACTTTGAGTTTGCGTTTAGGATTTCGTAATGGCGTTTACAACTTTCACGTTTGCGTTTAGTTTTAAATTGGCCCAAATAGATGGCTAGAGAATAATAATAACCAAACCAACCCAAACCGAGTGAAGAAGTGTCAGAAAATTAAAGCTGAGCCAAAAGGACTAAGAAGATTACAACAAGAGTTTTTCACAATTTCTCAAGATCCCAATTTCGTCAGATCATACAACAACATTTGTTCAATATCTGAAAAACTATCTTGAGATCGAGATAATGGACGAGAGAGAACACTACAAGTTAAAAAAAAAACCATGATTACTAATAATAATACCTAAACAACAAACATGTCTTTTCCTCTCATAGTTTTCACTTCCACAGCTTCACTAGTTTATCATGACTAGCTGATGCAACCAATTCAGTTGCAGTTGAAACTGCCAACGACGTAATTAGCCCTTCGTGCGCTGGTAATGTCATCGTCTTGTTCTCTGACATGTTCCATAGTTCCAAAGACTGCACACATTTCACAAGTTTAGGAGTAAAGTTAGGATTTTAGGATTACTTTTTTCACATACTTTTTTAAACAGGCATTGTAATGATTTCAACTTTACCTGGTAGCAACCAATTACGAGCAGAGAGGGGTAGGCAGGATGGAAAACGCATGACTGGAATTTGTTCCCGTTGCAGCTTAGCTCATGAACACATTCTCCTTCACTACCTGTCCCCAGCGTCCATACTTTTACCATATCTTCACTAACCGATGCCAAGAAGTCACCAGAAGGATCCCAGCAAACCGAGTTTATCGAATTAGCATGCCCCTACACAGACGAATTAGTAAACCTTCTTTTTAGTTGCTCTCTTGCTAGTACATATTACATAAATAAGTATCTATCAGCAACATAAAGTAAGAAAAGTTTGAACACTAAACCTGTAAAGAGTGTCGTATAGCTTGTGTTTCAACATCTAGTACATTGACAAGATTTGCTGTCGAAGCCGCGAGATACTTTCCAACACGTGGTTGGAACCTCATCTGGGTGGAACCACCCTGTGGAAAGAAAAAACATATGTATTTATTTGCTGAATTAAGCAGGTTAATAATGTTGAACTATTGGCTTTGAAGAGAATAAAATCTACCTTGTACACTCTTGTGCAACTTCCATTGTTGATGCTCCAGTACCTTATTTCGTTATCATTGTCACAGGAACATATGAGATCATCCTTGACGGGATGGAAGTCAAGTGATGTAACCACAGAAGAATGTCCCATGAAAGTACGAAGGGAATAACCTTTCTGCAAAGTAGATTCACAAACTCTTCAGAGATCACAACGTCAGAAACAAATATCTTCATGCAGAGATAAAACAACATAGTGAATCGATCAACTTTCACTTTACATTATCAGCATCCCAAACCCTGACAGTTTTGTCAAACGAAGAAGTTGCAAGGCGAAGTTGGCTTGGACTAAAACGTATATCTGTTATCGTAGCTGTGTGCTCCTCTAGGGTCGTCTTTGGCTTCATAGTGTCTGTGTACCATAGTACAGCCTGCAAAATGAACCAAACCAAGTGGCTCTTTAAGTTTCAGAACGCCAGAAGACCTAATGATAATTTCTGGCTTACCTTTTTGTCATGTCCAGCACTAGCAAGCATTTTTCCATCCGATGAGAAGTGGCAACAGGTAACTTTGGTTGTGCTCGCACGTACTGAATTCACTTCATTAAACGTGAAACCTAGTGCAGAGCCATCATTGTAGTGATTGAGAAATACTGTTGGCTTACTGAAGAAAAGTTCACCGTGTTATTGTCGAATAATGTTGAGTGAGGCTAAAACACACACCTTTACTAACATCCATACACCGTGTAACAGCGTCCCGTTGATCGCCATCGTCCTGGGATAAAAAAGACTCAACATTGTCGTCAAGTGACCCATCTTCCACAAATCGATCCATATCAGCCTGCAAAATAGCCAATAATTAATGCTACTAATTCATATTGATTACAATAACCATTATTCAATTCCATCAAAATAGAGGTGGGTATTGGAGATGCTCTTAAGAAAACCCACCAACTGATTTGATGGAGATGTAAGAGTCCCAGTTCCTTCAGTGCCAAACATCATCATTGATTTGGAGGAACCACCGCTGTGCGGCAGATTAGGCATAGAAATCACATCTCCAGGAGTATGAGTTGAAGGTGTAGAAGGTGCTGAGCTTGGTGATGGTCCCGCAGTGTTAGCTGTTCCTGAACTATTAGCTGGCCCAGAAGACGAAAGCGGTTGCTTTCTTTTCCTCCCACTCTGATTCTTCAATACCTTCAATTAAATGCAAAACACGTTTAGGAACCAACCTCAGACTCAGCAGAAACTAAAAACGTATGCAACAGATCATTGAAACATAAATTAGGAAAAGAAACAGGAATTAAAGAACAGACCTGTTCGTTTCCTCGAAAAGAATTTGACATGCTACCATCCATCGTAATACTACCACCACCTCCCAATTTATCTTGTTGATGAATACTGTGATTTGAACTCTGTGGTTGCGGATTTGAAAGGGCAAGCTGATTAAGTGGTTGTGGCTGCGGCTGTGGCTGTGGTGGATTACCACCACCCTGCTGTTGATGTTGCTGCTGCTGCTGTAACAGAGCCATCTTTAACTACAAAGCATAATCAATTATTAAAAATTTAGAACAAACGTCACAGCCATTGAAAAAGAGCAAAGATTATTATATCTTCTTCCACATTTACCAAACAATACTCTTAGAGTTTATTCAGAGTTGCAAAATTTTGAAAGACATTAAAGCCAGCCACTTAAGATTTGTAAAAAGAAGACAAGGCCAACCTTAAGTAGCATATCGGTGTCTCCACGAGGCAAAAGAGAGCCACCAGGTTGTAAAGACGATCCGACATTTGGTAGCACATCCCCAACAGAACTCCCAAGGCCATCCTTTCCTAGACTCATGCTCCGGTTGTTCAATAGCATTTTAAGTCTTCTGTTCTCTTCACTGACGGACTGTGAATTTAGATTCTGTTGAGCCAGCATGAGCTGTTGCTGATGCTGCGGAGTCAACATGTTGAGTTGGTGAAAAGACTGAGACTGCATAAATGGTTTTTGCTGCTGAAGAAGACCAGAACGAAGCTGATCAAATCCCTAGATCAGGAAAGAAAGCAGCAGTCAAAAGAAAATTCTTTTGAGAGAAGAGAGTGAGACAAGCTAGAGCAAAATGCATGGATAAAGCTTACAGTGAGTGGCCACCCTTTAAGTGTAAGGTTGTTGCTGCCTTGATTTGAACCTGAAACAGGAAACCAGTCATTAATCCTAATCAAATTCTTGTGAGCTGAAGTACTTATACTACATTTGACACGCTTAACCTACTGAAATGATACACTCAGCCTCAGGACAGCAAACCTACCAGGAATTCCAATCAACGATCCTTCTGGAACAGCAGTTCTGGGAGTGAGCACGGGATTGATCTCACTTTTAATATCCTAAACCCAAATAAGCCAGTGAGTATTAACTAACAGTAAACATCTACAAGGGACTAATAGATTCAATATTACATACCACTGCAGACCCAGGAAGTTGCTGATTTCGAGCTTGAACCTGTGGAGACATACCACCACTTGTACTGTGTAACACTTGCCTGTTATTCACCAGCAAATGGCATTTAGAACAAGAGAGAGATATTGAATGATTTTTCGATGCAACATATTCATTTTATACTAGGCGAGGTAGCATAGGATATAAGTGGAAACAATGAAGATAGAAGTATGAGAACAGCACCCTGCAGGTTGTCCGGAGGCTGCAGCAGATTTCAACATTGATGCATGACTTGGATCCAACAGTTGCCCAACATTGTCCCCAAATCGCTGAAGCCAACAAAAATTTGTATTATACCATTTGATGAAACTAAGGTGTAAAAAAAAGAAGAAATCGAATTTAAACACACGCCTAGCCTAAACTAACCTTCATAGCAGCCTCATCTAAGGACTCCCTCTGAGTAGGCATTTTGACCCGCTCCTCATATGCTTTACTAGCTAAGGAACTCCCAGACCCAGGATTTTGCCTCATAACTGGTTCACTGTTATTACCAACGAGTCCATTTGCTGATCCATTTGCAAGGTGGGACCCGTCTCTTCTCTGTGGCTGCTGCTGTGGCGTTGGCTGCTGTTGGTGTTGAGGCGTTGGTTGCTGCTGCTGCTGTTGAGAAGGTGGTTGGTTTTGATGTTGTTGCTGTTGCTGCTGCTGCTGCTGCTGCTGCTGTTGCTGATGGTGATGATGTTGTTGTTGTTGCTGCTGCTGCTGCTGTTGCTGTGCACGTTGCAACAAGAGTTGTTGCATTTGTATTTGCTGCTGTTGTTGTTGCTGCTGCTGCTGTGAAACTTGTGGGTGTTGAGATTGCTGCAATTGCTGTTCTCGTGCTTTGATCATCTGTGTCTGTAAAACACACACCCACAATTTTAAATCTTATTAACTTAACCAAAACAAAATAGAGAATTCCCCAGTCTAGTCAAACATCCTTAACATACTAACTGGAAAATATATTTCTAATCTTACATATACAACTCCTAAATCTTCTCTGAAAACACAAAGGATAAGAGAGAACACAATTCAACTGTAAACAATCAAGGACAACCAATGTGCTAACTAACTCCATATCACTAAATACAGAGACTATCGGAGCTTTGCGCAGTTATAGAATTACTAGTGGTCAGGGTAAAAAAGAAAGAGACCTCGATGTAAGATGCAGCAACCTCGGAATGCTTCTCATTGGTCCTAGCAATAAATATATCCCAGAAGACAGACCACCACTCAAACAGAAATCCACCAGGTGCGTCAATAGCTACAAAACAATGCAAGAAGAATATGAAGGTCATAAGAAGAAAAGACACTGCAGAACAAAGAATCTTTATTAGATTCGTAGCCAAAAAGGTCAAGAAGATTGTGATTTCTTACCGACTGGATCCGATGACACTTT